GCCCGCCCCCGCGCACGCATGAATGTCCGCCGGGCCTGTCTCATTGGCGTGGCGTGCCTAATTGATTCCGCGCGCCAGGGTTCTGGGTTCCGTGGGTTGCTTCGGTCTTTGTTCTTCTCCATCATCTCGACGGCAGCCGCCAAGGCCAAGGGGCGGGCGCTCCGTGCCTCAGTCCTTTTTTTTTTTGCTTTCTCTTATGTTTCTACTCTGTGCCTGTGACTGTGCTGCTATCAAGGAGGGGTCGCCCAAGGGGCGACCCCGGTTTCTTGTATTTACTTAATATAAACAAGATTCGGATGGTTACACCTCCGAAGCAAGTGGTCTACCAGTATAGGTATGACTTTTCTAGACTGCAAAAGTCTCATCTTGCAGATGAAATGACATCAGCATAAATTCTTTCGCGTTGATCCTCCTGACGTGGTAGAGCATGTCTGTCCCCCAGCGGGTGTTGAGCAATCGTTTTTCTGCGAGGCTTCACTGCGTAGAGACCTAGTAGGACAAGGAGGTGCAGCTGTCTCTCTGACCACTGAATTTTGGTGATGCGCAGCAAAAGATTGACCTTGATGAGGATTATGATGCGCAGCAAAAGATTGAGCTTGAGAATTATGATGCGCAGCAAAAGATTGAGCTTGAGAATTATGATGCGCAGCAAAAGATTGAGCATGACTGGAGAAGGTAGAGGAGCTGCTGGCTCCATGATCATGTACGCGGTCTTGTGGATGTATGCGGTCTTGTGCAGAGTCTACTTGAGTCCGAAACAGCGGTGGAGGGGGGGGCACAGGTACTGGCATTGGAGTCGCTGCAGTCGTCGGAGTCGGACCGCCATGATAATACGAATAGGAAGGTGGAAAAAGAAGTGAAGGAGAAGTTGCTGCACTAGTAGCTGCTGGTGGAGTAGAGGAGTTGTGAAACGCGAAGCCTTTGCTGTTGAAGTGCTGTTGAGATTTATAGTGCTGTTGAGATTGCGAGAGATGAGGAGCATAATTTCCCTCCCACGTATTTGGCAGGCGCTCTTGACCGGTTAGTTGGGCCTGTCCCGGATAACCCCCGTAGGTATGATCCTGCTGCACAACATTGGCATCGTCGAGTTGTTCGTGCTCTGAAATGACAAAAAATTATTGTTGACGATGAGAATCATGTGGTCATGATGATGAGTCTTCTATCATGATCTACATATGTAAATTTTAATATAGGCAGTTTAGCTTGAAATTCTCTCGAAAGGAATACCCCCATTCGCTTGCCGGAAATCCTCTAGACGTGTCGTGTTGCGACCGGGGGCCACGTGATTATGTCGAGGAGACCCGCTTTGCGCCACAGCGGCAGGAACGCCGCGGGCTTTTGCCGCTACGTTGCCGAAAATGCGCATTTTTCTTCTTGTGGAAAATAGGGCTCTAAAAAAGTACTCAATGACGATGTTGTACCCTACTCATCAAGGGACAACCGACTACCAGTGCTGTTTTTTTTGTTCACTTCTATTTTCCTCTATATGATATCGACCAATAAGATGCTTCAACATGGTTGTTGCTCATCTGTCGCCCCAATAAAACCCTTTCCTTTCTTTTTCAAATGTTTCGCTTTTCTTTTGTCTCGTCACCCAGGCCCTAGTACCTGGTCGCTCAAATAGAGCTCAAAAAAAAAGAAAGCGACTCTCGAGAGTTCATCGTTGTACAGCATGATTTCATCGCAGACGTTAGAGCATACAACTCGGTGGACCAGAGGGGACAACACAGATTTGCGGATTTGCGCTCCTGCAATGAATACTTCTCTACATTGTCGTAGTTCATTGAATACTTCTCTACGAGTACGATGTTTATCGCAAGTCATCCGGCACACCAGCAACAGTCACTCCCAAAAATGTCCTTACAAAGATGCACTACCAGCATTTTCTTGTCCATTCCCCAAAAATGTCCTTACAAAGATAAAGATGCACTACCAGCATTTTCTTGTCCATTCCCCAAAAATGTCCTTACAAAGATGCACTACCAGCATTTTCTTGTCCATTCCCCAAAAATGTCCTTACAAAGATAAAGATGCACTACCAGCATTTTCTTGTCCATTCCCCAAAAATGTCCTTACAAAGATGCACTACCAGCAGTGCTTTTCTTGATCTTCCTTCTCTTCTTCGTACATCATGGCCGCTGCTGTTTCAGTCTCCATGCTATCTGGGTTACTTTGTCTCTAAATTTAGGGGTTGAAGAAAGTTTCCGTCTCTAGCTCGCATATCTTGCTTCTATGGCTTTCCTACTTGAAGAAGCCATAGAGTAGATGCGAAGATTGTTTGTGATTCTTAAGAGAAAGTTTCTTAACAATCAAACAATCTTCGCATCTACTCTATGGCTTCTTCAAGTAGGAAAGCCACAGAAAATCCAAACCTTAATAAATTCTTGGTTACACGGTGGCCCCTTAGTCCGGACATGGACTTCTAAATGCTTCAACAATTTCAGCGACTTCGTCCATCCAATCCCGCTGTTGCGCTTAGCCTCCATCCGTAGGCATTTCTTGGTATCCAGCAAAATGCCAGTGCGTTCTTCTTGCCTTAGAACGTAGGTTGTAAGTAATAGTAATATGCCAACAAAACTAGTAAGTACATTCATATTTTTTCACATCTATCGCTAATATCGCTAATATCGCTATCCTGCTACAACAGACTTCATTCATTATATTATACCTGTAAGAACTTGAGGTAATGTTGTCACCACGGGGAGTTGTAACATTTAGATTTCAGAGAGGGGAAGGCCATATCATTTTCCTTCCATGTACTGCTGCTCTGCGCATACTTCTCTTCGACTGGGAATAGGCTTTGGACATCCGTACACCATAGGGGACGATGGGTAGGGGTTTAAAATGATTGTCATGTGGTCGTCTTTGTAAGCTCGTCCGGCTTTTGTGGCGACGAGAGATGGTCTGATGATGTGTTGTACTAGTGGCCAGTGCGTAGTGGGGTGCTTGATGTCCTCCGCTAAGGGAGGAGTTGCTCAGGAGATGAAGAGGCCTGCTCATTTGTATAAGAGTACTCGCAGCTGAGCTCCTGCTCGGGCATAGACGATGAGACACTAACGTTGATGAATTTATAGCCGGCACCAGGAGTCCCCGTGATGAAGAGCAAAAGGACTTCGACGGTATGACCCATCTTCTTGACGAGCGCAGTGACGAAGACGAGGACGACGAGGGCGCGAAGCCCCTGCTGAGCACACACCAACTGGGCATAGAAGAAGCACCTGAAAAGACGGACATGCTGGGATGTCTCATCCTCATGGTCGTTGGTGATTGATGAATGCACAAGAGCCCTGTGCCTGCCAAAGAGAAAATAATAAACACACGACTCGGCGTAATAATAATATTTATTGTGATACTAAAGCTATGCAGTAACTGCCACAACAACAGTAGTGCATTTATTTGCTGAACAGCGAGCTTCGTTCGCGAGAAATGCGCTTTTCGAACAAGAGGTCCTACTCACTAGAAGTGTGTACTTGAGTGGCAAATGGTGTGCTCCGCCGACATGTCATATCCTTGCCTGAAGATAGATAATGCTCTTCATTTCATTGTTGTTAACATCAAGTCCTCGTAGCGTGTTAAGTGTTTTGTTCCGTTGGTTGAAACTCTGGCCTTTCGCGCGCAGAGAAATCAACATCTTCATCTTCCGACGCATGTTGTTGATGTTGTTCATGGTGTGAGCATTTTTACGGATCATTATGTTCCAAAGATGAAAATCGTTACTCCATGACATTTATCCAATCTTCATGAACCATTCTTCTATAGCATTTTTGAGATACCACGATGAGGTCTAAAGGTGGGTGTACCACTGTTTGAATGTAACTTTGTTAAATAAATCACGCCGCTAGGAATGACTAACTATGACACTTCTCATCAATATTCGCTTTAGCTTGAAGAATTTGTACATTTTCATTCTGCTAGGACATCGCGCACTTTGATACCAAATACAATTTCACTTTTTTACATCGCACCACTAGTAGCTGCGATACCGGTACTATCAGTGCAAGTTTGTTAGGTAAATCGACAAATTTTAGTCTTTCCTTTCATCGGCAAGTTTGTTAGGTTTGTTTTCTTGATCACAACGAAGTGAGTAAGTTTGTTTTCTTTTGGTAATAGATAGGCTAGCTTCGCGAATAAGTCATTGCTGTATTGAGCGAATCGACGCGGACCCCCTGCATAGAATCCGTCCTTGGCATGATTCCCATTCCTTCGTTTCTTTTTCAGTCAAATACAACGGCAACAACAACACAATCTCAATTTTGAATGAATCCTAATTTTGAATGAATCCTAATTTTGATGACATCGTTAACCGACCTGATTACCAATATCAGCTCTACTCCAAACGAGTAGGAAGCTGAATTTAAACTAAAACTAAACCAAAATCGTCGATCTTATCGAAGATTTTTTTCATCACGTTTTCATGCACGCCAGCATCGTTGAGCCCTACAGCCACGAATTTCTCCCTAGACCACCTATTACGCTGAGAGCCACCAGCCAGCATCATCGTCATAGTACAGATCAACAATACTCGGTCACTCAACGGCATCTCTTCTGCGGAATCTTGGGGTTAGAAAAGGACTAATGTTTTTGGGGAGTCAGGTTTTTACCAAATACCAGAGCGGCCATACACAAGTTGTCTAGTGCTGATGGATGCTCGCTCTCTCTACAACTTCTAGCGCAGAAAAAATTCAAAAAAAAATTTACGCTACAGCGGAATTTCCATAACTCGACACACCTCCTCCAGTTCTGCTCAGAAAGCACGGCTTCAGCTTCTCCATGATCCCTTCCACTGCAATGATTCCGTCAACGAAAGCGTCTAGCAGTCTCTCTGTCCCCTTGCCACCAGGAAAAAGAAGCGCTTGGGTGAACCCAGCTTTCATCACATCTAGCATCATGCGTCCAACACGTCTGGCGTAGTTGCGGGAGACGGGAGAAGTAGATAACCTGGATTTTGAATTTAGTGAGTGAATCTGTTGTTCTTTGTCTTTCTTTCGAATGAAACGAGTTACTCTTACTCAGCACGATCAGATCTGATAAGCCCAAAATAAATTATGCGAGGACAGGCACTTTAGTAAAGTACATAGCACTTCTACCTTTCACCACTCTGGCCCAGCGGGTCCCTAGGCAAGTGCGGCCAAGGCTTCGACAATGTGGAGGAGAAATAGGCTGCGGCCCACGTCTCTGCCCACATTTTGTAGTACCGCTGCAAAAGATTCGAACTTTTTTGACTAACTAGGAATTCCGATAATCCTCTAGGATCTACTAATTCGCGGAAAACTCCGTTGTTCAGAGCTCTAGCCTGCTCTTCAATCGACCCAGGCCAAACGACGCATTCTTCCGGTATCGCCTCATTGTGCTTTTTCCACCAGACGAGACCCTTCTGCGTGAAAAACTTGCCCAAAGCGGTGTCTTTCTCCTTCTCGCCACGTAGAATCGGTCTGCATTGCACGTCTTCCCACGTGACAAGGGATTGCATTTGGTCTAGAGCAATGTCGAATCCGCGCTCGTCTTGCACGCCGAGTAGGAAAATCTTCGCATACACTATGCGCCTCAACAGATCTCCATCGTAGATCACCTTGACAGCACCCGAAGAATTATTTGAATTGATGCTGGCTATTGCTTTAGTTAGACCTCTCCCCTATTCATCCCTGTGGAAATCCCTCAAGCATATGCGTCAGTATGGGTCCCTTGTATTGGGGTGCATATGCTTGAGGGATGTCTATAGAGATGGATTAAGGGCAGCCTTACTTTAGTACTGCTGTTGTTGTTTGTGGCAGAAGAAGTTGATGTTGGCCCTCCTCCTGGTGCTGCATTTTTACTATTGGCAGAAGCTCCTGCGACCACTGCTCCTGACGTTGAGCTAGGTGCAGGAGGATCACGACGAACCCCTGTTGTACTAGTACTTGAAGAAGAAGGGGCTTGTTTTTGAGTTGTTTGCTCATTCGTTGCAGCTTCAGTTTGATCTTGCTTGCGAGGACCATCGACTTCGACTAGTTCTACATTTTGACCACTACCTCCAACACCTACACCTCCAGTATTTCCTTGTTGAGGTGGTAACAACCCTCCTCCTTTAGCACAGCCGTCTTCTGGGGGTGTGTAGGCAGCTTCTCCTGAGTCCAAATCCGAGTCCTCGTACTCGTCCTCCTCCAGAGGACGAATCTCACGTTTTGAGTTCGTCTTAGTATTCAGGGGAATCGTTGTAGCTCGTAGGCCATCGGGGGAAGCGGAGCCGCTTGTTCTCTGTAGTTGAAGAGGTATAGGACCACTAGGAGGTCAGAAGAAGAAAAATTTTCATCTAATCCTTTTTCATCTAATTCAGGATTACCGCCTTTAGATCTAATCCTGAATTGTTTACCGCCTAATCCTTTTTCATCTAATGTCGGCGGTAAACAATTCAGGATTAGATCTAAAGTGGAACATTTCATCTAATCCTGAATTCTTTACCGCCGACAACATCAGTTTCTTCCAGGTTCCTCTACTCACCATAAGGCCGAAAAAAAATAAGGTTAGTACCTTATCCCCAGACGATGGCGACCCGTCTTTCGGCATCAGGTGGCCCATACTCCGATCGAGGTCTGCATCTGGAGAATGATGGCAATGGCATAGGGATTGTTCAGAGATGCAAAATAAGGGTAAGGGTTTCTAGCTTCAAGATTCTACTTACCTCTCTCCACAGTCTCCCGCCAACTTTGTGTCATAGGTGCACTTGAGGCATGCCGCTTCTTCAGTCGTTTTCTCGTGTCGGTGTCACCTGCTGCACTGCCTCCCGCTTCTATAGCTAACTGCTTGTCCTTGGGTGGCGAAGGTGTTGCGGAAAAAGAACCATGCTCTGATGTTGTATGTTGTAGAAACGTGAAAATTATACTTCATGAAGAGGCGTTCTTACAACATATGAAGAAACATGTCCATAAATTGCATGGCTGCTACAGATTTATGATTGATTATTCGACCTAAAGATCTTCATCAAGTTCAAGCTCGAACTTTAATATGCCAATGTTGAATACGCGAAAGTAAAAAATTGTACGTATCTGCGTTCTCGTCAACACCAACGTCCTCAACAACTTCTCTGCTTGTGGAATCGTCAAACCATAGACTTGCCTATGCGCACTTGCTATTGAGTGCAAGTCCGCACCTTGCCGTACTCGTATCCTGATCTTCCCACGATATGCGCACCGATTTCTCCTTGGAATGATGACTTCACACAGAAACTCAGTCTTCAACTCAGGTACGCGCTTACCAGTGTTAGAGCTCTCGCTAATTCATCCCTGTGGCAATCCCTCAACAATATGCCACAGTATGGGTCCCTTGTATGGGGCTGGGGGTGCATATTCTTCTTGAGGGATGTCTATAGAGATGGATTAGGGGTAGCCTTAACAGTGCCATCGCCAAAGGAAAACGGTTCCCACTGTTGAGAGAATATCCTTGGTATCTGTCTGATCACCGGATGCGGGTTGTTATACAGTTGCCGCTGCAAGGACCAATAGAGTAAACGGTCCACCACTTGAGCATAGCCATGTGGAAATCGCGACAAATCTTGGGATCCACCTTGCTTGTTTCTTGGTTAGAGTCCGCGGAAGGCGCATCGCACGAAGATATATGGGAAGGCAATTTCTATGGCTACTATGTGGAAGTGGAACTAGAATCTGGGACAAACTCGTCATAACTATTCGCATTGTAGGACGTTGATGCGGTGATCCAACTGGCTTTACTGGCTATCGCGTCCGCGCGATCTGGCACGCCGCCTACACTGCGTGAGCGATAGTGCGCCACAGGGTGGATATTGGAGCAGCAGAGTGCTTCACCCTGTGAAGATGATCTCAACTTGATATCTGGATTGAAAAATGATCTTAGATATGGATTTGACGAAAACAACATGAAGATGTTGGCAGCACAATCATCTCTTCGCGGCCATATCATTCTTCGGACTGCTCACCGCTTCCTCCGCATCATTCTTAGGACTGCTCACCTTTGCTCCATTAAACCGACTAAGCGAGTCTAGGTTGGCGTCTAAAGAACTTCGAAGTCCAAAGCTTGGTACACTGTGTATCACGCCGTACGTGGTCCTGGAGTCTTTTCCGCTGCGAAGGAAGGAGTTAGAGGTAGAGATCAGACTGAAGAAAGCAAAAGTTGTTTTGAGGACTACTTAGAAAGCAGAGCAATTTATAAGGTTTCACAGCTCGCATGGCATGGAGTGCATGGATCGCATGGAGTAGCATGGAGCTAAAGGGGGAGCTTCTTAAAGGAAAAGTAACTTTATTTACGAGGAAAGCTGCAAGAAAAGTTTTGAGGACTATAAAGGAAAAGTAACTTTATTTACGAGGAACAGCAAGAAAAGTTTTGAGGACTATAAAGGAAAAGTAACTATATTTACGAGGATCAGCAAGAAAAGTTTTGAGGACTATAAAGGAAAAGTAACTTTTACGAGGAACAGCAAGAAAAGTTTTGAGGACTATAAAGGAAAAGTAACTTTATTTACGAGGATCAGCAAGAAAAGTTTTGCGGACTATAAAGGAAAAGTAACTTTATTTACGAGGATCAGCAACAAAAGTTTTGAGGACTATTATAAAGGAAAAGTAACTTTATTTACGAGGATGAACATTAATGACCACGCATCAACAGTAAATTTAAGTTGTCCACTGTGATTACAACATATTTCGTAGTAGTACTCGCACTTGCACTACGCGCCGGTTGTGCGCCTCCTATCAATGTCGTCAAGGAGCTGGAGGACCGCATCATTCTCTGAACTGGCGTCGGTGTCCGTGCGCCTGTGCGTGGGTCTCAGTATGAATACTTATGAAGAGGACATCATGTTGACGTTAGGAATGGGAGAGGAAGTTGTCAGGCCTCAGTGAGTGACTGGGAAAGTTATTTAGTACCAAACACCACACTTCCTTAACGACAGTTCCAACCACGCGTAGAAGTTCCGCTTGAAATACCTACGTTACGCTATGAAAATAGAAATACTGATTTCGTCCATATATTCTTTCCTTGGGTTTCGGTTTCTCTACAGATTCAAGATTCATTTCTTGGGTCTCTACAGACTCAAGACGTTCTTCATTCTGTAGTGCTGTATCCAATAGATTAAGATTCTGGTTTCTTTCTCCTGCTACTTCTAGTTTCAAGAAGCACTTTTTTCCTGCTCCTTTTCCCGCAGAACTGTACCAAACACCACACTTCCTTAACGACAGTTCCAACCACGCTGGCGACGCGGCCGCGGAATTCCTCAGAACGTTGATAGACTCCTGTAATCTTGCTGAATTCTCGTTTACCCCATGAGAAGGCAGGACTGGGAGTTGGTGGAAATGCATGGAACTAGGCTCCAAAGGGTCTGAGGCAAAGCCGGAAGGTATCACTCCCATAGAACCGGCCGTCGGAGTAGGAATCAGAGAGTAGGCGTGTCTGTCACCATGGAACCCGCCTCCACGATTTCTGGGGGAACCACCGCTTTGAAAAATTCGACGAGGGCTTTTTTCGGGAGAAGGGATTAGAAAATGCCGCTTCTACGACTACGAGCTGTAGTGCTACAAGATACACGACTTAGAAGTTTTTATTTCACACGACCATGCCCTAGTAGGTACTGTGACGCGAAAAAGAAACGAGATACACACACTCACTAGTCTGCTACACGTACACTAACACTAGCGTCATAAGTAAAACACGTCCTCGTCTGCCTCTGGGTCCTCCGAAGATGAATGCCGACGAGGACGTGTCTTACTTATGACGCCATTTGCTCCGAAGAATGCCGAGCGTCACACCGTGAATGGCATGAGCCGAGCTAACCACAGAGAAAGATCCACAGAGTGATCCGCGAGGCCCACGAGCGGGCGCCGCGGCCTCCTATTGTTGCCCCGATTCAATACACAACACAACAAACTTCAGACAAAGAACTTCCAACAAAGTCAGAGAAACAGAATCATGAAGATGATGGTCGGCCGTTTGTAACATAAGTAAAACACGTCCTCGTCTGCCTCTGGGTCCTCTCCTGTTTCCTTGTTCGCCGGTGTGACTGGTTCTGTCGATGAAATCTTAGTCTTGGAGTCTCCCACCTCACCAAATGTCATCCTTGTTGTTTCTCTTTCAGCTGCATTAGTATTAGTACAAGAACTAGTGGAATTTTTATCGGCTGTCACTGTCGTGTCTCCGTCGTTTACTACAACATTTATTCCTACCGCGTAGTTGCCATTTGTTTTGGTCGTGTTGGAGGAGGTCTTGTCGCTCACTAAGCCATCAAAAGTATGAGCTCGTCCAGGTCCAGCATCTGCCTCAACGTGATTTATGTACCGCAACTGCTCTGCGATGGTGTTGTTCCTTGTCAGCGCCGCTTGTATCCGCTTTTTTGCGCGCATCTTCTGGCTTTGCACCCCTTGTTCATAGAGCAGAAGGCATCGCCGCAACGACCTTCTCGGATGCGGCTGTGGAGCATCAGGGTGTCTCCATTTGAACTCAGCATCAAGAACCTGCTGCTGGAGGTTTCTACACCTCCCACCTCCAAAACCCCCAGACTGCCCACTTCCTGGAAGATTCGCTTGTTGTTGAGCACTAGCACTACTGCTGTGACTGTGACTGTCTAACATCGTGAAGACAACCGACCCTCCTCCACCGCGACCGCGCTCATCGTCGTAAAAAGGACCTCCGCCTCCAAAGGAACCAGTTAGCACTTGATGTCTACTCCCGGTTGTTCCGTCTATCCTAGAAGGACCAGGACCCGCAGCAGATGGAGTGGTAGGATAACCATAACCTCCTCCCACCCCTCCTAAGATCCTTGTCACTTGATTCATCTGGCCCCCATTGCCGCCATGAGTGGATGCACCACTTGAAGAGGATCGGCCTGCGGCTGTGGTAGATCCGCCTCTATATTCACTCCCCGCCCTAGAACTGCTACTGCCTCCATACTGCATCCGGCTACTACTTCCGCCAAAACTGATGAGGGGGCGGTCCCCAAAACGGGCCCCAACTTTCTCAATCTCATGCTGCATAACCATTTTTTTGATGTCCGTATGCAGCAGATGGACAGTTGGTCAATTTAATTTCTCACATACTCAAACAGTGTACTTACGGAGTAAGTGTAATACTCTAGTACTTTAGGAAATGCAGTAGAAGAAGATGCGAACTAATATTGATGCACTACCGCATCTCTCTCCATAGACTTTGCGCTCCCTCACTCGACTCTTGTTGAAGCCATGCCCCTCATCGTCATCTCGGTGTGCCACTCGGGTGTAGTCGCTGCACGAAAGAGCCTCCTAAAATTTAGGGTCCACATCAGCGTGGCTTCTGCGCAATCCGAATTGGAATTCTAGGAATATCATTTTTTCACCATTATAGTTTGCCTGAATGCAAAATACTGTGCATTTCTTTAGTTCTATACATCCGCCTGCTCGTACGTATTCCTTTCTGTCTACTTATGCGCTTTTCATCGTTCTCTTTCGGAACGAGTGCAACAATAATTGAAAAAATCAAGTGCTAAACTCCAACTAGTACTATTACATTCAAATAGTTTTAGTTCCACGTGCTGAATATGAAAAATCGTAAGAACCCTAGAAGACTAGTTGTAGGTACATCAATGTCGTCGAAGATAAAGACAAGGATTCATTGTGTAGCCTTCGCCTTGTATTCGATGCCAATTTGACTTGCGCTTATGTCAGGAACAAGAAGGCCTTGGTCCCAATGAAAAGTAAATTTTTTCTTTCATTCTGAAAAGCCTAGAAGATGAGTGGAACTATGAAGATGCGTGTTGCGATCGATTCATGTTGATGTTAAAAATCATATGGAAAATACAAATATCCGTTTTTCTCGACGAGCGACGCTATACAATCTTCTCCAAGGAAGCTCAAGACAGAAAAAATTGAAGTTCATCCCTTCATTCTCCAATCCAAATGCAAATCATCAATTATGCTTGTGCTTGTGGTCTCTTGGGAGCGTGGTTTACAGAGTCCTCCATGTCATGTCATGGCGCCTCTTATGTAGCTATTAGTGTCTACTCGTGAGGACAACCAGTTGGAAAGTACCTCCGATGGAGAGCCAACCTACCGGTATAATATTTGTTGAATAGCAACCACAGTTCTACGTAGAACAAGAACTAAATTTATTAGTTTCCCCTCTTACATCCTCACCACCGCACCGTTCGTGTTGTATCCCGTCTTCTTCCCCCCTCTTACATCCTCACCACCGCACCGTTCGTGTTGTATCCCGTCTTCTTCCCCCCTCTGATGGCGCAGCCTGGATCCACGGTAGGCGGAAGAGAGAAGTCCAGTCCGATCCGCTGCGTAGGAGGAGAGATATGTCGTCTCTCTGGAGTCCTCACGCGCGAAGGGTCCTGGTTGAAGGGCTCCACGTGGCGCCTTCCTCCCATCATAGTTGCGTATTCCTTTCTGTATTCATCTTCGAAATCCTTAGAACGGTCGAAGCCGGAACCTAGGTATCATATTCGTGGATGAAGAGTCAAGAAGTGAAGAAGTCGTGAAGGAGTCATCTGCATCTAATATGTGATGTATCTACTTATACATGATATTGCAGGAAGGGATAGCCTAAAGGTAAAAAGAAGAAAACATTTAGGATTTCTAGGTGAGCAGTAAGCATTTAATATGCACGACATGCTGGTCGTAGTAGGTGATGAAGCACGGTGGTGCGGCGGTAAACGAAAATCTCAACTCATCTACTTAGATGAAGAAAGGTGGTTATCAAGAAAGTTTCAAGAATCTTCACAAAGCAAAAATATAATCATCAAATCAAAAAATTATAGGACCTGTAAAATGCGAGGAAGCTTGTCTGCACGGATTCAACGGCGAATGATTGAAATGATGTCTTCCCGCTTTTTTTTCGTGTTCTTCCCTAGTGTCCGTCGTCACTCCAGCCGCTCCGTCACCGCCTTGCATCTCTTTTTTCGTCACGTGATGCGCCAACTTCCCTGAAATATTAGAACCAAGAGAAGTCTCCCATTTTGAGCAGCATCTTCTTGGGCCTCCTTTTCCCTTTAAAAACATCTGGACCAAGATTGATGCCTCTGAACAAGATGCCTCGTCTGAACAATCGAATCAAGATGCATTTATTGTAGGGTAGCCTTAAAAATAATAAAGCTATCGTTCTGATTGCTCTTCCTATTTCCGGCATATCGGTCGAAAGCGTGCGCTCTCGTGTCCACGTGGGCTTTTCCGCGTTGATTGTCTTCACGGCGGATCAGCCTGCCATGCAGCTGCATTTGCCTGGGATCGTCGTTCATATACTGCTTGTTCGGATCGCGGATGATCTTGACATGACTTGCGTGCGGTCCGTGTTGCGTAAAAGCCAATTTCGAAGTAGACGATTGGAAGTACGTCTTTGTTAGAGGTACGCTATTTTGCGACAGCGACATGGACATTTTTGTTGCATTTTTAGCATTCTACTCCAGAAGGTCCTCTAGGTCATCTTCCTTGACGAGGACCCTTTTGTTCCTACTGGTAAAAATAAAGTCAAGAATCATGGTACTAGTGAAGAATGCAATCATCATGTGGTAAGAACCCTTAACTTTGGCGAAGATCCTCCATGGGTTACGACGTAGTTCTCATTCTGTCTCAGATCCGCCTCTAGATGCCGTCTGTGTTCATCCACAAAAGGCTTGGTTGGTTTCCGCAGCTCAGTGGCGATCATGGCATTGGGAGCACCAAGCTTTCGCAGTAAGAGAGCCATTTCCTTCATCTCATGGTCATCGTCTAACGTTTCGTCGATCGGTTTGTGCAGAGACCCAACCTGCAAATGCATGTGGCGGTTAGACTTTTCCTCAGCCATGAGCTTTGCCGCTAATTCACTAGTATTAGAGGCAGCTGCGACATTTTTGCATTCTTCCGAAGGTGATCCCTGACGACCACCCTTTTCCTAAGTACTTTAGGGGTTGAAAGTTGCCGTCTCTAGCTCGCATATCTATGGCTTTCCTACTTGAAGAAGCCATAAAGATGCGATTGATTGATTGATGTACCCACTCTTGGGGTAACCAAAGCATCTTTAATAATTAAAGATGCTCTTAAGAGATTATTAAGATAGGCCAACTTCCAAGAACCTCTCAATACTGGAAAAAAAGTCAAGGATGGTAGTAGAGAATGCAATGTCTGTCCTGATCACCCGTAATAATACGTCGACTGCCTCTACGCGGCATCACGTGGCCAGGGTGTCCTCGAAAATGAACCTCGAGGGCTAAGGTTGAACGTTTTCCCATGATATTCGAATTGTCTTGACCTTGAGCTTGAGCAGCTTGAGCATTCGATCCTCTGCTCTCCGTTCTCTTACTCGGTCGAAACGATAGGCTACCTCCTCCTGCTCGTTGCGGTGGCTCGGGACCTGCGTAAGACTTATCATAATGGAACAAACCGGTATTTTCAGCCCCAAAACGCAAACGGTAGTTCCCGTCCATATCGAGGGTCTGCTTAACGTAAGGCGAGGACTCAATTTCCGAAGTTCGGTCAGTTTCGTAACCCCTAGTCGTACCATCCCTATCTCCATCTTCAGCAGGTCCTAGTACTTCTCGTTCATCTACATCTCGTCTAGAACGAAGATCATCTTCATGATCCGAGCCTGCTGCGTGATCCATCATATGCGCGTCATGAACCGGATGCAGATACAGTCCCAACATCAAATGAACTTGCGTCGCCAGGACCCAACGAGTTAAGTCTTCGACGCCTCTGCATTTCGGGAGGACCACGTCAATGCCAACTGTCGACAATGTGTCGTGAAGGTGCGTGGCGTGTCTCAGCAGAGAACCCTGGCTGAGACTGTACAACTGATCGTATCTCATCACGGGGACATCAGTTTCGTAGACAGGAAGAGCTTCGAGGGCCGTCACTGTAGTTTGGTAGGAGTTGTATCTGGATCATGTCTATGGTAAGTTGGAAGTAGGAGTTGTAGCAGTTGTTGGCTACATTTCTTAATATTAACGATACGAACTCCAAGATAGGAAAGCCTATAATAGTATTATAGGCTTTCCTATCTTGGAGTTATCATCTACATCTTCCTATCAATCTTGTATTATACAATCTTATCGTTATCATCTACATTCTTTTTTTTTCGTTTTTTAAAAAGCCAGCAAAACAAAATAACTTAAGCTTCTACTGAAAAACTAGTACATGTTCCAGCAGTAATTCTTGAATTCCCGCTTCCACCAGTCGCGCTCTTTCCAGCATTCGAGGTAGACCCAGTGGGCGCGTCTCTACTCGTTTCAGCGGTATAATCATGATGTCCATCATGCAATAAACCGTCGATCGATTCGTTTCTATAGGCGTTCATCACAGACTTGGTTTTCGCTGCACTTTGTGCCGTGAGTTTTGGGAGATCAGCATTCTCGATGTCATGCCTCTGTGTCCATTGGGAAGAGAAGACACGAGCGTGCGCATCGGCAGTTGCGACAGTAGAACCGCGTCGATTTCGCTCCTCAATTTTCGATAAGTCGTTGCCCTGTCGTGAAGATGTGTCGTGTTGGTGAAGGTTTTTTGTTTAATTCATTCATTCACCGATTCATTTACCTAGCACGAGGCGTACGTCCAGAACTTAATTAGAATGCAACAGGACGAAGCGAGGAGAGATAATATTTCTTGTGCTCAATAATCTAACATCGTAGTTCTTGCTGAAAAGGAAAATATGATCTTCAAAAACATGATCTTCAAAAACTAAAATGTCTCCTCGAGAATTAGAAGTACCTTGTAGTTTCTCTCGTAGTGTTCCGGGAAGCAGCGAAGGCCTCTGTCTAGCGGTGTATTGCGGTCTTCCTTGCCGAAGAGGGCAGGCTTACCCGCAGACGGAGGAGCTGCATTAATATTAGCGGCCATGATATTATAGGAGCAAAATCGAAGAAAATAGGGGGCGTGGGAAAGAAAGAATCAATGATGAAAGATGGCTGCCGTGGTGGTATAATTTTTCGATTTTCAACACGGGATGTTGGTGTACTACGTTATTATCTAGGTAGAAGCAAATGGAGGATGTGTAAATATTCCCTCAGAAGATCATCTAGGCAACACCGTTAGGAGCTAAGAACCCTCTCACAGATACTATAGTACAGACACACCTGAATCTCACTGAACGACAGACTTGCTCGCGCACGACATACCACGCACACTCTAGGCTGTCCATTGCTCTCTGAATCAACAGACCTCTTCTGGCCTTTACTCAACAAAGATGCTCATATAATCTCTCTCCTCGCCACAGAGTAGTAACTCACCACAGACTTCTGACCAACTACATGCATGACAGAGACGCACTCAACTCAACTCAGGACTGGCGACCTCACTCAACTCGACTCGAGAGATGGGCTAGTACCTACTTTCCGTCTTTTTCGGTAGGAGTAGATCCTTCCTCCCTCCAGCTAACTCAAAAACTCAAAAAAAATGATCTCTTCTTTATACCAAAGAAAGGGCCGGCGCAACTAGAGACCTGGTCCTCCTCTCAGGATCCGAACATCTTCAAGCAGCCGTAGCTTCCTGACCACAAGGCAGCACTACAGGCTTACCGGAAGTCGTCTTTTTTTACGTCATTCAACCAAACCACTACCACATTTTTAGAGTGCTTCTCCTACTTGCTTCAGTTAAATAACTAGCCGCTAGTAACAATCAAGTTAGTTTCTAAATATCATAAGCCCCTATTTCTCACTCTCCAGCATCCTTCAGCAAATCGTCAAGTTGTCCATGTACTCGGTCAAAATATGCGTCAACCTCCTCAGGACTAGGCGGTCCGCAGAAGAGCCGAGCAACGTCATCCACAGGTGAACGACTCGGAGTTTCTTGGAGGAGTTTGGACTTAGTACTACTAGTCGTGTACGTATAATCTGATGCTGTGGGATAAAAATGCTTCTTCGTTCTGTTTGCAGCTTTTGCAGTTATGATCGGCTTAGTTGTAGAGGTAGAGGTATTAGTAGAGGTAGAAGTTGTTGTAGTATCCAGTTTGTTCGAAGTTACAACTGTAGCATTGTACTTGTTGGTGTCTATTCTTGACCTGGCATTGGTATTTCTGGTAGACGTTGATGACGCCGTGTTCCCAGGAGCAACATTGCTGGATTTGTTACAACTCCCAGAGGAGGAAACTGCCTTTTGTTCAGGCAAGCTGTGTATCCGACTCTGCGCACGCACTGCCGCGATTTCTGATGGAGTGTAGAGTTTTTCTTTTTTCTTGTTACTAGCTGTAGTAGTGATACTAGCACGACTCGTTGTTGCCGGTGATGGTCGTTTTTTCACTTTTGACGAAGCGGAACCAGTAGTCCCTTGTGTCCCTGCGCGTGGTCCTGATGGTGAGCCTGTGCTTGAGGTGCTGGTCATCTTCATCTCAGGAGGACCACCAATATCCTTGTTCTCACCACCACCAGAGTTCCTTGCTTTTGCAGCTGTATGCGAAGGAACAACCCCTTTACTAGAAGCTCCTGTCTGTGACTTACTAGAAGATTGTTGATATTCCTTTTTCTGATCGTTTTGAACTTGTGCACGTAGACGCTGCAGTTTCTGCAGAATCTCCATTTGACTTTGCCTCAGAGGAGAAGCGCTTGCATTAGGGTTGGTGTTGCTAACAGAGGTCCTTATCTTTGTCGGACTAGCCACTTCCTGCTCTTGGTCTTGCTCATCGAGATTCTTCTGAGCCACAGCGGCAGCGGTGGAGGACATCGACGTTGATGAAGTGATTTTGTCCAGGTCGTCAGAAGGTTCCTTAGGTGTTGGAGGGCTTCGTAAGAAGATGCTAGAAGAAGAACTTCGTTCGGCGGGTGCGTCTATTTGTTCATCTTCGACGCCCTCATGCTCATCGTGAACAAGTACTTGTTCATCTACTAAATAGACTTCCTCTACACCTGGGTTTTCGAGTAGACCTATTGCTGTTGTGGGAGCTGCTTGTTCTTGCACGACTTCCTCCGCTAGCTGGGAATCACTCTGTGACATAACTTCACCTCCTTCAACGCCCAGTTCTTCTTGAGATCTTTGCATAATCAGCGGTGTTTCCATAATCAGCGGCGAGGCACGCATATCAGCGCATTTTGTTGCCAGCAGACTACTCAGTGCACCTGCGAAGCGCGAAGGGGAAGGTTCTTCTTGTTCTTCGTCTTCCTCGGCGAGTACTATGTCATCTTCATTCTCCTGTTCGTGGTTTTCATCTGCAAATATTGCTTCAGCAGCGTCTACTTTCACCGGTAGAAGTTGTTCTTTTACAACATGAAACGTCGGCTCCGCATCGGTTTCGGAATCACAAGGCACATGTTGTGTAGTGTTTGCGACAGAATCGAGCAGAGCGGTGTAGGACTCCACTTCTTCTGAGGCGACTTCAACACGATGAACGCCATCGACACTCGGGGCATTTTCTTCATCATTACGAGCACCTGTGACCTCCTCCGTAGGTTCCGGATTTATATCTACTCGACCCGTACCACTGCAGTAGACTAGACCAAGTCTTGCTTCGACATCTGCAAAACCACCTGCCGCTGTCGGTATTGTCGGTTCCACGTCAGAGAGGTGTGTAGTTTTTTCCTCTGAATGTGAATCTACTAACTGCACACTTCTCATGGAACACGTGTCGTGGTCCTCTTCTTCATGCACACTTCTCATTGAACACGTGTCGTCACCAACTTCGCCAGACGTAGAGCATTCTTGTTCTTTGTAGTGTAACTGAACTGGCCTCGAGGCGGGTTCGTAACGATGATGTTGTTGTTGTTGTTGTTGTTGACCTCCAATGGAACTAGAGCAGTGTACCCCCAGAGGATGTGATCCCAGGGAGCTAGACGAGGGGCCTCCTCCAACTCCAAGAGAATGTTGTGAGGGCAGTCCCTGATCAAGTGAGTGAAACACGGTGTGCTCTTGAGAAATCCGTGACACATCCTTAGAGGTAGGTTTTTGGTGTTCGTTTATCCCGCTTGTTATGGCTGTCCCCACCTAAGGGAGAGAGCCATAACAAGCGGTATTAACAAAAGCACCTTTAACCTACCCTTAACATCCATTGCACCTAGAATTCGCGACGCATCTCCGAAGGCAGAGGAAGTCCTAGGACCTCCGTTGACAGAAAACGTCGTAGAATTGTGGTCTCGCACAGAGGCAAACAGGACGTCAGAGGACCTGAGACTGATGTCCTCAGGCTGATGATGTTGTTCCTCTTCTTGGGACGATGATAGGCGACGATGGGAGGCTCCTGTGGGAGCATGGTGAACTTCTGAACCTTGAAGAGAATGAGATTTCTTGATATCCACCTCACGTACTTCGTTGACAAACTCATAAGGGCCAGCTATTGAACTCGCGACTTCATCAGGCTCTTGCGCAACAGCTTCATCAAGAATGTCTTCGACTTCGTCTGCGTTGTCGTTCCGTGGAGCAGCTGCTACGAACTCTACTACTGGTGCTCTCTTGTCCTTCATCACTGAGTCGTCGTCGTCGTCTTCAGCTGCATCTTCTTCGACACCAGGATGATCAACGTCTTCAGCATCTTCTTCGACAGGATGATCGTCGTCTTCGACTTCGACGTCATCTTCCACCTCTACACCCCGCGCCTCCGCGAACTTCCTCATGAAAGCCCGCATCGCATCAACTTCTTGCAAATCGCGACTGAGAGATGGAGGCTTCTTCACATCTTGTAGTTGTGGTGATGTTGTTCTTGAAGATGTCGTTTCTTCTATCGTCCTCATCTCTGCACATGCTGCTACAGCTCTAATATGGTCATCTTCCTCATCCTCTTCATCATTTTTACCCGAATAAGAACTTCTCGCTTCATCCACCTTCGCCAATCTATCCGCTTTTGCCAAGATGTCTCGTAACTCGAAGTCAGCTTTGTTGACCAGCGAAAGCGACGCTCTAGGTGGGGAGGAGAGCTCTTTTAGGATTTCACCTCGCAGACCAGAAACTTGAGCACGTAAAGATTGTACATGATCAGTTGTACCGCTATGGCTATAGGAACTCAGTAGGTGCGACATCTCCTCGCCGTTCTTGCTTGCTTCGTCACCAGGTCTTGATGCAGCCTGGCCTGTTGTACTAGAAGAGGAAGCGCAGCCGCCTGAAGTAGCCCTTCTTGGTGTCAATATAGCGGAAGCCGTCATCCTGTCATGTTTCGCAGGACTACCTGTTGGTCTAGTCGACTTTCGATCCATCGTTCGTTGTCCCAGATGTAATGCGTGAACATTACTATCGTTAGAGGTTGCGTGAACATTACTATCTTCAGATCATCCCTGACCCTTTTCCTACTGGAAAAAACGTCAAGGATGGTAGTGAAGAATGCAATGTGGTAACCCTTAATATCGCGGGTCTGATGAAGATGCGGAGGTCGTCGTGTTGGTGAGCTACAAGAACTACTCCCAACTACCAAATTTCCTGCTCCATCCAACTTCAAAGCGTTACAGATGGCATCTGCTACCGCTTTACTACGGACCGCGCCTTGAATTGCTAGGCGGAGTTTCTGAGGAGATGAGTCGACACCTGCTAAGGTACAACTAGATGATGTTGGTGTAGAAGCAGATGCATTTTTGTTCACCATTTTGCTTAAACTCTTCTTGGGCGTTCTTGTGTTGAAGTCTCCTGGTGTTGTGCCTGGTGTCTCCTGGTGACCGTAGCTCTGCTCCTCCGCAATGATTGATGTTTCGACTTTTTTTGCTATTTCCAGGGACGCAGCAGTATCGGATCCAGGGTTCTTTTTCATAGCCTCCAAGACCGACACTAAGAACTGGGTGCTTGTAGTTGCAATAGCTTGCTCGGAAAGACGAGCCTCTTCCTGAGCGTGGCTCTGAACGGGTGGTCGTGACGAGAAAGACGATGTTTGTAGTTCCATTGTCGATACTGGAATAATATTAGAGGTAGGTTTTTGGTGCTCGCTTACCCCGCTTGTTATGCCTTTCTCCTCCTAAGGGAGAGAGGCATAAAAAGCGGTATAAGAAAAGCACCTTTAACCTACCCTTAAGATTAGTGGTCGCCTCCTCTCTTACTGTTCTTATTGGTACCTGTGCTGCGACAAGATCCTGCACCTTGTTGATGACGCTAGTACTTGTTGCGTTTTGCGGCACTTCTGGAGAATGATCACAAAATAAGGCTGCTGATCGTTCTTGTTTCTGCGTAAGAACGGCCTTCGAGTTCGACGTAGTTGCTTCTCCATTTATCGAATTGACTCCTTGTTCACCATTTCTAATATTCGTGTTCTGTTGCTGTAACAAATCTATTTGACGTGAGTATATCTCTGCGCGTTCCTCTAGTTCAAACACAGCCATCTGTAACTCGCGGTTCTGCCAGGCCAGCGCCTGACGGTCTTCCTCTGTACTCCGGAGTGCCCTAGTGCGGGTCGCTAGACGCTCTTCTAGAGTGGAGCTAGAAGAGGATGAGGAGCTGGCACCAGATGGAGTTCCTTCATTTGCTAGTTGTTGATGCTGTTGGCAATTTGAAGAAGATGATGAAGATGGTGACATGGCAGTAGAAGATGCACTTGATGTTGATGCCATCCCAGTACAACTTCTGTGACCAGTATAGTTTTTCTTCTGCGTTGTATTTCCCGACGATGAAGAAGGAGCTGTTGTCGAAGAAATCACGATGCCCATCCGCAGGTCGCCATATCGTTTTTCGCTTTGCTTTAGCTCCTTCGCGCAGAGATTGTACTTCTTCTCCCACAATTTACTTGTTCGGTCTATCTGGTCTTTTTGTCTCTGTAGCTCGACTACTTTCTTCTTAGCTGCTTCACGTTCGACAGCTCGGTTGCGTTCAGCTGCCTCATGGCTAAGCTTCAGATCGCGGACCTTGATTATTTTTTGGACTTTTCGCATACAACGAGTACATTCTTTTGTTCTTGTTCTTGGTTGGACGTGGAAGTTGTTGCAGTCAAAGAAATTACGATTTAGACATTAGCATGACGATCATTCATACTGCTTGAAGTAGCCAAATTGTAGCCTCTACTGAATTTCTGATTGGACCACGAGGTCTAAGTATTCAAAAATACCTGCCTCCTCAATTTCTCCACATCCCCTTCTAAACCCTGTTTTTCCTTCTCCAACTGATCAACACTTCGTTTGGCCCTTGAATACGCGTCCCTGGATGCCGTGAGCTTGGATATGAGCTGATTGATCGCTACAGGTACGTCTTCTACAGTCTGGATTCGAGTCACCTGGAGCTCACCACCCAAAACGCGATTGATCCGCTGCAACGAAGGCGCTAGTTCGTCGAAGAGTTGTTCATGTGTTGTGGAGCATGCTCCTGTGCTGGAGCTACTCGAGGAAGTCATGGAGGAACGGAGCATGTTGTTGTGGGCTTGGTCTTCAGTTATGGACTCAAGGTAAAGGATGGAACGCCAGGACAAATAGCGTCGTGGTGGGAGACTCAACGGAAACGGTATGGAGATAGAGCAACAATAGCGAAAGCATAACAAGCGAAGAAAGCAAAAATCATGACTTGATCAATATTTTTCTACCGCAGCACGGCTGTGGGAAACGGGAATGGATTATTCAAGGACTAGTCCACCAAGGATCTCGGTTCACTCATTCTATCGTCCCCGAGATCCAGGATCGAAAAACTTTCTCCATTTTCATCATTACTTCTACAACGACCTGGATCTAGTAGTTCACCCCCCAAAGGTCAACCCTACCGCGGGGCACCCGCGTTGTAGTTCTAGCGATTGCGCACACCCTCAGCCCGGTTGGACAGCGCGAGCAAAGTGGAAGGCAGTGGCCTGACTCCAGCGGGCGCGTAGATGCGTCGCGTTGTCGCCATTGTTCGCCATTAGTAGACTCTACTGAAGTTTTTCCGCCGACGAAACGTTCTAGAAACACAAGTCATGAAACTTTCTCCATTTTCATCATTACTTCGACAACGACCTGGATTAATAGGGCTGGTGATTGCGCTAGCTAGTCGTTTTTGGGTACTTTTTGTTTCTCAGAGCCAGGTCTCCTGAGTGTAAGTAATGTGAGGCAGAAGGCAAACTTTCTTCTGGTGGTGATGACCGCCCAAACAACTTCACATCTGAGCACACCGATGTGCGCATTCTTGCCATGCCCGTCTACCTTGTAGGTGTTCATCGTCCTAGAAATGTACATTGTAGCTTTCTTTTGTTACCGGATGTAGGGTTTTTGTACCTTACCTGTCTTGTTGTCGTCCGTATAAAACTGCATACTTCTTGGTACCAAGTTCTAGATCGAGGACTGCATCACTGAATTATCATTCGAGGAGTACTACTCGACATTCTTTTTCTTACATACTGGTTTACTCAAAGTGAGTTGTTCTTATTTTCAATTTTCTGTCTCACTCGCTGTTGCATGCAGGGGGAGGGAGTTTCTATTTCCGTTTGTCTTGCTCGTCTTGGTCTAGGTCTTGCTCTTGCAAGATCACGAATATAACTACCAGTTCATTAAGGAGCGTGCGATGTAAGCTGTGCAAGAATACAGAGGATTTTACGTTTTTCTTTTTTCTTAGAATTAATATGGGAATGATGCGTGAGAGAAACTATATCGAGTTCTGCGTTTACGGCTTATCCTGTTTACGTTTCGTATTATATCATGTGTAGTTCCTGCTGATTTGAATTAAAATCCTCGTGATGGGTGCATGAGTGTCAGTGTCCCTATGTATATGTCTGCTGTGATTCTCAACGTCGTCTACTAGATTTTTAGACTATATGCATATTCCTGCAATCTGTGGGGAGTTGTTCAAGAATTATAAAGCCGAGAAAGTGCTGCTCCCGTAGAGCAATGAATGTTAGACTAGATGACATTAGATGTTAGTTTCATTTGGTACTGGACCTGGATGTGATACTGACTAATTGCTTGCTCTTGCAGAGCGAATGATCGTGCATACTTTTGCTGTTTGTTGGATTAAACCATGCTGTATTATCTTGTTGTTTGCAGAACAATGCATTGTATGAGTATGGAAATAATGATGTAACAAGAATGTAGGCCGTACTAAGTAACTTGTAGGTAGGTAAGTTTTTATTATTTCAACATGTTCATGATCCCTGTACACTATGATTTTTCAATTCGATTTCTTTCTTGTTTTGCTTCTAGTCTATCTAGTTCTACAACATCTAGTCCTTCTAAGTAAGTCTATTATCATATATATAAAGGAGGAAGCTGTACGTCGTAGTCTATGTTTTTTTGTTCAAGAAGAGGAGAAAGGTCTTCCACTTCACTCTTCATCAGAGCTACTGGAGTCGTCTTCTTGTCTTCCTTTGAATCTCTCCGGATAGTAGGCATCGTAGTCGTGGCCTTTTGGCATCCCGAAGTGCCATGTGGATTTTCCTAGCTTCTCCGCCTCCTCTGCCAGCATCGCCTCCTCTTTTCTTTAAGGGTTAGAGGGGGCCGGTTGGAGAGAAGGGGAGATGAGAAAGTTATTTGTTGTTCTCTCTAGATCTTCTAGTGTTCTAGATCTTCTAGTGTTCTTCTAGTGTTCTTCGGGTCCTTGATGGACCACAAGGAAGACCGAGGTTGAGGAAAGATTCTTTCATGTTTGATACCACCACGCCTGATTTTGAGTACTACGCAATTTTGCTCCGCTTTCATCATCAATGCACCTCAAAAAATGGTCTTCAACATTAAGCATCTTCATTATCCGCTTTATTCAGTGAAGGACAATTCGAAATCCACAAGAATCAAGATCTTCAAAGACATAATTTTCATCGCAATCTCTGCATCCAGAACACGTACACCACTGGAAATCGCTCTTGGATCTTCCACTATGTCCGGTAGAGGTTTCGGATAGTTGCGATATCGCACTGGCGCAGTTCCTTTGGCCCCGGGTGCAGGCGCTCCACGACACTCATACATATCGAACAGAAGCTGGTGAACCCGTTCAGTCGTGATCTCGATTAGGGAACAACCAGAGTTCGCTTCCTTGAAAGATTCTCCCAGTTTGTCGAGTTTGCCGATGCCTGAAGAGTTGGTGAGGTTCATGATCACATGATTTATTTGTGGGTGAAAAATTCTTACTGTCCTAGTACTTGTTTTTTATCAGACGTCTTCATGTTATGATCCTAGAACTGTAGATGATGTTCATGCTTATGATCTTCATCCCAGAACTCACTGCAGTAAGAATAGTTTCTTTTCAAAATGAACCAACTCTGAATAGAAAACTCAAACTGAAACTCCAACAAAAAACTCCAACAACGACTTACATGCTCTCGCAGTGCAACACAAAGTGTGCACATCACGCGCTTTCAGGTCTCCGGCGAAAACCAAAAGGGCTCCTAAGAATGCATCCGTTGTTACTCCGAAACCATGGGTGTCGATGTCCGCTTGGTGAATGATATCATAGGCCTCCAACACCTCGTCAGCTCGTATTCCCAAAGCTCTTTGGCACTCCTTCCAGGTCATTCTGTTTTTGGATTTGGTGGAGAGACGAGTCGTTGTCGTGTACATGTACTACTATTATTTCAATTTCTGTAGGAGGTGCGGAAAGTAGTACTAGAAGCAGTTGTACTACATGTGGTGGTTGCCTACTATTAATAGGTGGTGAAGAAAGAAGTACTAGAAGCAGTTGTAGTACTTTTTCCTGTCGCTAAATAAGTTGTAATATTCTACTATCTTCAACACAGAAGTAATGTTCAAGGTACTCGGGATCCTTTGGTTGCAAATTATCCGGCAGCGGCTTCCCTAATGCATCTAGCAACAGTGGCGGTTCTGGAGGCCGCATCACGTCCTCTAGGTCCTATTTTTAGACTAATTCTTCATATCCCAAATTTATGAAACGAAAAAGTGCACTCTCACTCAAGAAATTGGCTAGGATTTAAGTAGCCACTTTTTTTGAGTGCTGTGAGTGCACTTTTGTCTTTCATATAATTCATATAATCCCTTTCTTTGGAAATTATATCTCTCTCTGGAAATCCCGCGAAGTATCTACTTATGCGCCAGTAAATCTCAAACTCTCCCATGTAAGTACTATTGGGAGGCTGCATACTGTTGTTGAAGGATAATCATGCCACCTAGTATAGAGGAGACGAATTCATCGGAGATCAATGACGCCTTAATCTTTGGTGAAGAGCATCGCAGAACCATGCGCGCCTCTAGCCTCTATGTTGAAGTCTGGCGCAGTGGACTTTCGAAATCTGAAACGACGCATTTGACGACGCCTCACGTAGGGACAGGGCTGAGCGTGTTCGTCTAGAAGTTCTCGCATTCTTAAGTTAGACCTTATCATTAATATCCTTGTTCCCTAAGTTAGTAGACCTAAAGTTAGACCTTATCATTAATATCCTTCCCTAAGTTTAAGTTAGACCTAAGAAGTACATGATCCTAAAGTGCATCCTGGAACAACGAAAACGGCTCCAGTATGCTCTTGAAAACACTACTGTCCCCCTTGAAAACGGCTCCAGCATGCTCTTGAAAACCCTACTGTCCCCCTTGAAAACGGCTCCAGGCAGTTGTATGCTCTTGAACAAGATGGATTTTGGGAGGAGCCTTAATTAAGAAGGCACTGAGTTGCAGCTGGGCTTTGCGTCTGGCTTCTTTGACGAAGCGATTTTGGTCGCGCTGCTGCTCTCCGTTTTTGATAACGTAAGCGACGAAAAGACCAGAAATGTTGTTCACTAACCTGTGGGTGTTTGGGTTGGTGGAAGAGAATGTTGTGGGTAAACGAGGTAGTGTGTGCACTTGAAGAAGTCACTTTATAAGGTATGAGTGAACTGTCAGTACACGACTTTAGTCTTCAAGAACCAAGTTCAAGAAGTTCAGACAGAATTATTGTTAACAAGACGAGCTCAAGTAAGAAGCAGTAAGAGCAGTACCCGAACTGAATCACCAAGATCACGCCCATCAGTAAAAACGCCAGGGTGTTCTGAATCTCTCCCATTGGCCTGATGATTCCCGTCAGCCAGTGGTCGAAGAACGTCATCTGAACGATAGTGAAAAACGAGTAAAACGTGGCTTTGAAATAGTCATTCTGCGACCACGATGGGTTCTTTTTCGATGTGTACTCGAAATAAAGACCATCTCGAACCGCTTGTTTCACTTGCGAAGTCCTTAGAAATTCCCGCAGCAAGAGAGATCCATCTGACTTAATGGTGAACATGCTGAACATGATCCATCTCACGAGGACTGCTCGTAGACGTACAGTTTTTCCTTGAAAATAAACGAGGAAAAACGAGGCTGAGTGAGATGATAGATCATGTCATGAACAATCAAACAGGATGGATCTCGTCCTCATCTTCAAGCGGCCTTAAAGTGATTAGGAAACTCGTGAAGTAGCATGCCATGACGAAGAGCACGGAACCGAAGATCAGGGGCCTACGGAGACCATAGAATTGGTCCAAAACGAAGCCACACCTTCGCATTCTAGGAGACACCGCCAGGGCCATCTGCGAATAGCGCCAAACCCGGAAAAGTCGTAAGAGCAGGAAAGCGTGGATTACCTGAAGGTTATTTTTGGAAAAGTCGTAAGAGCAGGAAAGCGTGGATTACCTGAAGGTTATTTTTAGGAATTTAAAACAATAAAATGGGTTGAAGGATATTGGAGTTGGGAAAGCTCGTGTGCGGGGAAATGTGTAGCAGCAGTATGTTGGCTATGTGCTGGCGTCGTGGGGAAGTCAAACTTTTCTTAAATCAAAAAGAAAAACCTTCTCAAAGAAATAAAATCTTCAGGAGCTGCACCCACAAGAATTTTCAGCACGACAAGATCAAGAACCACAATAATACTGTGAATAAAACTACTAGTAGTACCTTATCCTCCGTCCCTCCTGTGAAGATCACTGACAACCTCGCGATATCCAGCACGACGCAGACAAATGGGAAGAAATTGTCGTTGATGAAGTGTTCTAGGTTGTAGTAGGTGTAGCGTGAGCAGCGATAGATCAATTCCCAGAAGAAAAAGCCGAAGAACAGCAAGTCCAGAACGAGATTGCCTAGAGGACGGTCCTCAACTTGTAGGAGGATACGACGTGGAGGACTTGAGGATGAGAAATCGCCTTGATCTTCGAGGAGATCGTCCTCAGAGTCTTGCTCGAGCGTGTCAGACAATGTCCGCAAGGAGGACTCAGAAGTAGACCTCGAAGAAGATCCACTTCTTAGAGAAGCACTGCTGGCGGCCAGGAGCTCCCTCTTATGTCGTCGCTGCTGAGCTAGTAGCTTCCTGCGCCATGCGATTGCTGGTCCTTGGAGTTGCGCAAAGATTAGGGGTGGAAAGTTGGCCCCCCTCTAGTAGGTCGCATATCTATGGCTTTCCTACTTGAAGAAGCCATAGAGATGCTCTCAAGTAGATGACAGGCCAACTTCCAACCCTTAAAAAGACGTCATCTTCATGGATGGCGGACGAGGTGGAAGATGTTGATGTTTTGCTATCCTCTGCTGCTAGTGCGCCATCGTCGAGATCCTTTAATACTCCCCTCATCGACTTCGTGTTCGTTCCCTTATTCTCCTCCAGCAAGACCATCAATGGCCTCCCACGTGCGTGCTTGGCCTTGGCACACACCGGAACCCGCTCGAAGGTGTGCTTCTGGACATGGCACTTCTGCTCGTAGGCTCTGGCGTGGTCAGTCAGGAAAACCGCGGAGCCATCAGCGGGTGGCGCAATCACAACCAACGTCGGTCCAGGCGAGAAGAAGCTGCGTGTCTGCTCGACGAAGGTAGCAGCGTCATGGAACAGTTGAGACAATAAAGAAGGAGGCTCTACTATTAGAGGGAGGTCTTTGGTGTTCGCTTATCCCGCTTGTTATGGCTGTCCTCTCTCTTAGGAGAGGCATAACTTAACAAACGGTAACAAAAGCACCTTAAAGGTGTACCCTTAATACTAAGCTGTCCTCGAGATGATCCACAGCAGGGATGTTGTGGCTGCTGAGATGCACACCTGATGACTCTTCCTCAGAGGACGTTGCGACAGGCTCACCAAAGCCAACTCCCGAATTCTTCGCTAAAGAACTTCCCGTTCCCGGTGGAGGCGAAAAAACAGCCCTTTCTTTGCGCAACTGGTGTAGCATGGCTTCACGCCATTGGATCGGCCTAGAGCCATCGGGTAAAATCAGACTCTTCTCCGATCTGTACTCTCCGTACGTTCGCCGTCTGTGCTCCTCTCTACCGATCAATGTATGCTGACGCTGTCGACCGAAAATCAACGACCAGAAAGAAGACCAGGTACTAGCGATCGGTCCTCTTTTCCTCGTAGTTCGTCCAAAGCTGCCATCGCCATTGTTGTACTCCTGCATATCACTCAGCGAAAAACTACTACTCGCCTCTCCGTCACCAACATCCTCTTCTGGTGCGCCACTACTTCCTAGAATCCTTAATGAACCAGCATGTTCAAAAAGTTTCCTCCTCTTGGAAGATGCTGTAGAATTCAAAGCCGCTCGCAGATTTCTGCTGTGTAAAGTGGCTCCTTGGCCTCCGAACGCATCTTCCAAGGACTGCTCCAGAGAAGACACTACATCATGATCTGGTTCTCCTGGACTGGCACCACTTCCACTAGTAGCTGATGTTGCACCACCATGATGGCCACCATTGCTACTAGTAGTAGAATTAGAGGCATCGGGAATTCATCTCGGGGATCATCTGGGCTCTTGTTATTTCTCTATTTAGTTTCTTCCAGATGACTTTGGAGATGAATTCCCTACACCCATAATAAAAGCTGATGCCAGCAGTTCTCTTCTCTTCCTCAGACTCTTTTCATGCAAGGCTTCTACTTCACTGAAAATGTTGTCGATGCGAGCAGCAGAAGTTGTTTCCTCGACAACCTCCCAGATCGTCTCGCCAGGTTGATGCGCCACACGGGCTTGCTCACTAGAGTCGCGGGATTGCGTTAGAAGAGAAGGGTAGATACCAGACTCTCGAGGATGATTCATCTTGTTGCATCTTTGAGGAAGGCGCGTACAGAGGACTCAAGGCTAAGGCATCAATGAAATTAACATTTTGAAAGAAAGTGATTGTTCTTAACATAAACATTTTGAAAGAAACTGATTGTTTGAAGGCTTCTAAGGATAGAGGGATATCTTTCTAACCTCCCGTTGTTTTAAGTACTTTACTGCTTTAAGCTAGCAGCTCTGCCATAACCCCAATATCAAATCATACGCGGCTGCCCGTTTCTTCTTGAGCATTTGATCACGGTGCCGGTAAGCGGGCAACGCCCAAAGTCCGTTTTGTGCCACGTCTGATGATCCTCCAAGTATCTGACGATGACCGTTGATGGTAAGCTCCGTACTAGGAAAATCAGCGTCATCATGGTCTTCCCGTTGGTCTTTGGGGAGTGGGAAGCCGGAGATTAGAAGTGAGACGTTTTGAGTGAAGCCATACTGTTCTGAGGAACAGCTCCGAGATGTGATGAAGGTGAAACTGCTAGCAGACCGACAACAACGCAGGCAGATCGAGACTAGTTCACACACGACCCAATGATCTAAAGTCTGTGGTCGAATCCACATTCTGGCTAGAAAATCTGTGGTCGAATCCACATTCTGGCTAGTTGTAATCCATTCCCATAACAACAATTGCCTGAGCGTAGCACTCGCCGAGAACATCCCTGAATGCAACGAAGCCAGCCCACTGTGCATGAAGATCGTTCGGTCGACGTCGTCCTTCCACTGAGACTCGACTAGAATGCGGACCCTTCGTTTTGGCTTGTGGTCGTCTACGTCAACGCCAATATACAACAGGTTCGCGAACAAGATCAAAGCCACTGCAACGACGTCTCTCTTTAGAGTGTGCTAGAAGAATGCATGTGCATCTAGAAGATCCCCTCATCAGATTGACCCGGGAATAATTTCCCTTGTTGTATTTAATTATTCATGAGAATACAACAAGGGAAAAACAAGGGTACCAAGAAGATGCCGAGAAAGATCAAGATTGTATTTATTCATGAGAATACAACAAGGGAAAAACAAGGGTACCAAGAAGATGCCGAGAAGGATCAAGATTGTATTTATTCATGAGAATACAACAAGGGAAAAAGGTCGAACCAAGATGCCGAGAAAGATCAAGATGGACACTAAAAGATGTTGACGCCTTAATCTGTAGCGCTTCCAGGTAGCATCGGCTGCTAGTTTTCGATGTCTAGACTGAAAGTAGTCTCTGGTGGAATATGCCTTCAGCGTTTCAAGGGCTTCATGAAAACTGGCGTCACCCTCTAGAACGACAGCGCCATGCTCCTCACCAGGCATGGGGATGTTTTCGAAACGACGCTTGAAGCGGGACCCTGTAGTCGTGTAGTGTTTTTAGCGTTTTTAGCTCACTCCTGGGAGTACGTCACATACCTACAGGAGACAAGGTAGTCTGCTTGTCTACGTATTTGAATCATACATCATGCACAGAAAAACAATAACAACTATGAGGAAAACTAGGTAAATTTACGTACAGCATTTGATTTTGTGATAGAGTCGTGGCGTCGGCGCTTCGGCCCCTTCTGAAGATTCGCTATTTTCCTCATCTACGTCTTTGTCTTCTGCGCCGTCTTTGCCAGAGGTGATTAGAAGAAGAGAACTTGTAAGAAGATGAAGTAGAAGAAGAAGTAACTAATTATAATTAATATTTTTAGGTAAAAACTATTGAGTACGTCGACAGCACTATAGAGAAGCGGTAATTATGGTAGTACGAAGTCGAGTCTTCATCTTGTTCACGCAAATGCTAGCACCAGAAACTAGAAGTGTTGTGAGTAGAAGTAGCATTATGCATGTATCACGACAAACTCTTCCTCCATTCCTCCATAATCCTCCTCCTCCCATCATCTGCATCGCTACACCTGATCTCGCAGAAACCCTTCTTTGCGGAAGCGCTATTGCGCCACCCAGCGCTATCGTCCCTTTGCCGCCACGCGGACTATCTTTATTGCCAGGTGGTGAGTCTGGCAAGTCCTCTAGTCGTAAAAAATCCATCGTTCCCTCTCCACGGGTTTGATAGAGGTACTGAGCATCTTCATGAGTACTTGGGCGTTAGAAGCAGAAGAAGGTAGGAAAAGGAAATTATGGCCGTCTACTTGTATGAACATCATTTTTGGTCGCTACTAGTACTAGTTGTAGCAATATTAAACAAAACCAACATGCAACAACATAAAATCTACTCTTCGAGGTCTGGCCATCCGCCATGTGCTTTACCCGTCCACCCGAGATCCCAGTGATCGCATGTCGTCCTTGAAGTAAGGGATAATTTCCACTCAGAGCATGCATGTCTCCTAGCGCACTTGGTCGTCTCGAGGCACATTCTGACGTTATCTGGAAATGAGCGGGGATGATAGGCCCATCCTTTCGTGAATCTTCGTCGTCTTCGAGACCATCAAGGTTAGAGAAGACAACGATGAAAGATGAAATTACATTCATTCGATCAAGATTGAAGATCACTTAGACCCTTACGTTCATCTTGCAAGTAGTCGGGAATCAAGAATAGGGAAGAAGAACTACATCAAGATAGATGATCAATATAGTACCACGACATGGAACTACAACTACACTTGTCAAAACGAAACTGAATCTTCATCATAACCCCCTTCCCTTCTGCACCTCCATCGTCACGTGGCGAAAAGTGCAAGCCTTCTTCCTCTCGAAATCCGTATAAGTGCTTCATCGGTGAATGCTCGCCCGCTTCTTCCTCCTCTTCATCCAGTAAGTGAGACGCCTTCAAGATGGAAGCGACATCTTGTGGACCCGCAGACACCATCTTTTGCAGTTCGGCTTCTTCTCTCTTCTTACGAGAGGACTTCTTCTTCTTCTTCAAGGAAGACCTGTTATGGAGGTCAGCGCTGCCGCGCTCTGCTGATCTCCCGTTGTAGGAGGTCTTTAGTTAGAGCTACCGCGCTCGCATCCCCGAGAACCTCCCTGGTCCCTTTTTCTCCTTGAAAAAAGGGCCAAGGATGATGTTGAGGATGGTCCAGCGGTAGCCTTAATTTAGCTTGGATTTCGTAGGCGACAAAGAGGAACCACTATTATTTCTTCTACTTCTATGGTTGACGAGTTCTTTCATATCATCCATACTTCTGTTCTTCAGCCTTGTTTTCGACGTGGTAGAAGCTGCACTTCTAGTATCTGCACTGCCTATAGCGACACCATACGGAACTGGTGATTCGCGGCTAGTGCTGATTCTCGACGCCGAATCAGAGTTAGAGGTATGATCGGGAATTCATCTCACAAATCATCTGCTGGGTTCCTTTTCCACCTTCTTATTTTCTTAGTCTAGATAACTTTGGAGATGGATTTCCTATAGCACTCATAACAGAGCACCCACCTCCTGGTTTTGTCGCGCCTGGTCGTTCAGGCGTAGTCTGCTTGCTCTGATCGTGGCTGCTGTCGTCCATCACGTACATGCCACGAAATCGCTCAAACTCATCTTCCGGTCCTACTTCTGTGTGGTTGACTAGTTGTGTGGTTGTACTTGTACAACTAGTTGTGGGTCCCCGTCCTCCCTGAGTTGACGAGCTCCCGCCGAAGAGTGATTTTGGCATATTTCGAAGCAAATTTCGAGTCGACCAACGACTTTCTTTCGCACTAGCGACCCAGCCACCTTGCGCTTTGCGCCTCTTCTCAGGTGAAATGGAAGGGTCGTAGCCGGAAGAGAAACCTGATGATGTGGGTGGAAGGATGAGGGGACTACAAGAACTTTGTGGATCATACATTTACAAAAGACTCATCATGTCTTGAAAGCCTTTGATACTTCTTCTAGATGATCATGTTCATGTGGACTTTTACAGCACCAGTCATAACAAAATCAATGATGAAGAACCAAAGCTATTTTCCCTCTGACACAAATTGAAATTCTTGTCATCTCGTCACCTCCTTGTCCTTCCGCAGCTTCTGGTGCAACGACATTACGTGTCGATCTTTTTGGTGGACTCGGATCAAACTGGAGCTTCACCTTAGCTGTGCTAACAGCAGTTCCGTCAGAAGTCTTCTCTTTGACGTAGACGTTTCTATGTTGTTTTTTACTACTTGAATTTTTAGAGCTTACAACTTGAATTCATCTTTGACAGCATCTTTGACGTTTTTTCCCGTTGAAATAAACGTGTCAAAGTAAGATGCTTCTCCAGATGAATTACGGGAAGCCCCCTTACTTGAACTAACGTGCTGTTTGCTTCTCTTCCCATCAGCACTGGCCTCACGCTCACACCTAGCCTTGTTGGTGTTGTATTCATCCCCTCCATCCTCTTCTGTGAATGATACAACTACAGTGTCGACACTGCTTGTACGGGAGATGTGGTTGCTTTTCCTCCTTTTGCTTGAAGCGGAGCGTTTGGTTGCGCTATTCCTGTTTCGCTTCTTCGGTGGAGACTCAGACGTCCAGGTATCCTCCAAGGGAGGTGCCCGATGGGCACCCTCCGCCTGGGCCTCCTCCACCTGGTGAGGGTGGGCATTTCCGCCCTCCTGGTGATCATCGTTCACGACCATAATTTTCGTTCCTCTTGGTGGTTGCACGGTGGTAAGAGGACGATCATGATGTTAATTGAGTAGTCACAGGTAGTAGTTTTGGTTCGTATTAAACCTTCTAGTGCTTTTTTAGAAGATCGACTATATATTACAGTCAACTATTGATGATGGTGATGGACGGGAAGGATGTGTTAAAGTGAATGCAGTTGAAATAAGCTCATCAAAGAATTTAGTGCACAACATGATGGATCGCAAAGATCGCGAGAAGCAGCTTCATATTGGTTTTCATCGAGGTGTGGTATTGCGGTCTTCGGGCACAGGGATAGCATGGAATAGAGATCTACAAGGCATCAGTGTGCTAACTGATGAAGGTATCGTAATCGTTCGACCAACACGACCGATCAATAACATCAATACACTACAGCTATCGACCGATCTCGAACACGACTGCTTTCATTGACATGACCGACTTTGCTTACCGATGTGGATGCAATCTTAGCAGGTGCCTGATGTCACCTTACCGATTGGTTGGATCAGAACCACATGCTTGAACAACCTTTGAATCTTCATTAATGTGTACTATGAAGGGTTGATAGAGCTTGTTCTAGAATTCCTAAACTTGCGAGAATTGAAGACTCCACGAGAACACGGAGTATTCGGCACATGAAGACACTCCATAGGTCCTCGCAGCATGAACGCGCTTGATATTCTAACATCTTGGATGATGTTTAGGGAAAGCTTATTTGGATTAGGGGATGTCTTTGTTCAGCAGCAATCACTGTCAATCTGCTTCTATAATACATCAAGATTGAGAAAAAGACTCCAGAAAAATTGAAAGATGTCATTGATGAATCTTCGTAACAAGGTGAGATTTCTTGCATGAGAAAAATCCGATTTTTCAGGGTTGAAATCAAGTCTAAAATCAGGTTCGTCGAGTACAACTCTACTGGTAGGATATTCTTTATTACACCATAGACGAGGATAGGTGACCAACATAGCATCCATCGTGCTACTTCTTCATTCAGTCAGCACTTGGAAGATGGTTCAGCCTATCCAGACCCAGTTACCTTCAGCAACTGTGCCATCCTTGCCCTATCCCAGTCTAGACTGCCAGCTAGTAGTCGGGCCATCTCCAAACGAGATTCCTGCTCTGCGGAAAGGAATTTTAGCAGCAAGTGACTTACATACTCCTTATCAATCGTATTGTTGACGCGTTTTTGAAGTCGTTGGACCTCCTTCTGCTTTTCCTCGAGCAAGGAAGCGAGTTGCTGACCGGAGTCAGCAGGCACTCCGCCTGAGGTATCTGAAGGTTCGGTTTGGAGGGTGCTATGGAGATTATCATGATGTGCCAGTGATCGGTCGGGGTTGTAGGTGTAGCAGGTGCGTTAATTCTATCTTTAGCGCTGTAGAACAAGTCGTGTCTCTCTGTTGGAAATGGATCACGGGCAACAAGGACGAAGCCTTGGGCCAAAATGGCTAGTACGGGTGTAGCAGGTGCTTTAATTCTAGCTCAAAAAATCAAAAAAATGAATCATCTTCAAAAAAAATTAGTGAGTACTTTCCTCCGCCTTCTTCCACAAGTCCAGTAGTTTCGTATATTCTGCGTCCCGTTGTGCTAAAGTTTCCACCGCTGCTGCCTTCTCATCTTCTAGCGTCTGGATTTTGGGTTGAAGTCTTGTCGTTTCCTCTAGTGTGAGCGCAAGCGCTTCCTCTTTGCTTTGGATGGTGAGGCGGAGGAGCTGGATCTCCTCTTGTTTGCTCTGGCATCGGTGGTAAAGCTTCTTGTATTGCTCGCCCTCGGGGAGCTGTAGTACGGTGGCGTGGAGTCAGGAGTGTGGGTGGAGAATACAAGATCATCATGACGTCACTCAGTTGATTACTGACTTCACCCAGAGGAAACAGAAGTCCGGAAAGTTTTTGTTGCACGGTTCCGTTCCAAAAAAACTAGAATACCTCTCGCTCTTTCAACTCGTCATTCTCTTCCAAGAGCGTCTTCGCGGCTGCCCTCAATTTCGCGTTTTCCTCCTCTTGAGTTAATAGGTCCGCCTTCAATTTCTCCACTTCTTGAATGTCGTGACCCGGTGAAGAGGCTGGTGTGGGGTGGAGCGAGGATGTAGAAGGGAGAGGTAGCGGTCGTGGCGGTGGACTCAAGCAAGTGTGTGTGGGGTTGGAGATGAGTCGTGGGAAGATGGAACTGAGAGGACAGACATAAACGAGATGTGGGAAACCGGAGCGGAAAAGAGAGGTAGTACAAGTTGTCCTTTTTTATCGACTACATTCAGACGCAACACATCCGATAAAGTTGTCGTGCGTAAACGATTAGGGACGCTGCATCTTGAAGCGGGGATTAGGGTTGCAGGGATAGGGACGTGTGGAGAAGGAGAAACTCAGCTGCAATTTTAGAGTCATGCTTCTCTGGAAGGGTAACAGAGCAGCTATCATTCTTCACGCTGACGCTGCACTTGTCCATTTTAGCTTGAGTAAGGTGATTCCTGTAGTTCTTCAGAGCCTCAAAAGCTAGAAAAAAACAACGCACCAGCCTTCGCTGCTTCTGGTGACTTTCGTCCGATGCTTGGCGAACGGGCTCCACTACCAGTACTGTCGTGAGTGGGGGAGTGCGCGCCTCTGCTGTCAGGGCTTAGAGTGTGGCAGTACTGACAACATTTCTACGAGTGCTTTTGGAGTGTAAAAATGCCTTTACCTAGTACTGTAGGGACTTTTATTCCAGTAGACGAAGGAAACCATTCCGTTCCATAACTTCGACGACGAATGGTGCGACAGGCGCTCTACTTCGTCTCGCAATGGATCTACTTCCCTTCGCAATGCCACTAGTTCGTCTTCTCTGCGACGCAGCATCTCCTCTTGGTCTTCTAGTTCTTCTTTTTTGCTATTTAGCTCAGCTTGCAAAGCTTCCCTTTCTTTCGTCGCTTCAGCAAATTCAGCTGCTAGCGACTCCTTCTCGGCTAGAAGCTGATGTTCTTCGGATAGAAGATGCTGCTGATGTTGGTCCACAACGCCAGATGATCCAGGACAACTCGTCAGAGAGGATTGTTGCTGTTGTTCCCTTGAAGACCGTTCACTTCCTATAGAGCCAAGCTCGGCTTTCAGGGATTCAACAGCAGTGTTGGATTCTGCCAGCGCCTGTTCTTTCTCACTCAGCGTCTTCTCCGTCAACTCTAGCTTTTCACTAGCCAGTCGTTCAGCATCCTCGGCGCGCTCGAGACTGGCACGCAGGGCTTCCTCACGCTGACCTGCCTCCTGTAATTGGTCATTGAGGACTGCGTACTGATCCCGTAATTGCTGAATTTCAGCCTGGTCGTCGCCCAAGGTCTGCTGATTCTGGAGCTCACGGGAGGAGAGCTCATCGTGGGCACGAGCAGATTAGAAAAGGCATAGAAGAGGCTAGACGAAGTGGTTATCTCGTCGTGGGCACGAGCAGATTAGAAAAGGCATAGAAGAGGCTAGACGAAGTGGTTATCTCGTCGTGGGCACGAGCAGATTAGAAAAGGCATAGAAGGGGGCTAGATGAAGTAGCTATATCTAAAGTCACTGTCACAGGTGGTTGTATCAGTTCTCATTTACGATTCCGAACACTTTTGCGACTCATATCTCGAAGACTGTGATTTTTGTTCGGTTTGTTCATGTTCTATCTTGTTCAAGGAGAAAAGTCAAGATAACGAATGATCTTCAAGTCCATCTTCATAAGTAAGATCCGCTCGCACTCTTTCCAGTTGCGCCAGTAATTGTCGTTCGTTGTCTTGCGAGCTTTGTGTGGCGTTACTCAAATGCGAACGAGCAGCTTCCAGCTCCGCACGCACGCTATGCAACTCTGCTCGTAGCCCCTCAACTTCAGCTGCACTACTGGCTTTTAGCGCTTCCGACTCCGCTAGGACACTGTCCCGTTCTGACCGCAAGGCACTTGCTTCTTGTTCGCGCATTTGCTGTTCAGCGGCTGAGAGTTGAGACGCAGAGTCCGTAGCAGCAGCTAGTCTTTGTTCGGTTTCCACCACTTTCTGCTCACTTGCGGCCAATTTTTGCTCAAGTCTTTGCGTCACTTCTAGCAGCCTCTGTTCACTCTCCACCATTTGCTTCTTCAGGTTTTCGCCTTGTTCCATCAAACTCTGACTCTGCGCTTCTGCACTAGCTGCTTTGCCATTTGCTTCGGCAAATTGCGCATTCAGTTCTCCATTCTGTGTCGTCAAAGCCGCTACTTGAGCCGTCAACTCTCCATTCTGGTTGTAAGCCAGTTCGTAGTACTGGTAATACGGGAAGTAGTAGTTGTATTTCTCCGTCACATCAGCTAGCTGTGCTTGCATCTGCGCTTTCTCAGTCTCCAACTGCGTTTTCAGAGTCTCCAGCTGTCCTTTCTCAGTCTCCAGCTGTGTTTTCTCGCTCTGCAAGGTTCCTAAAGCAGAAGCTTTCGCATTCTCGACCGTCAACTGCGCTTTCTCAGCCTCCCACTGTTGCCGCTCAGCCTCCCACAGTTGCCGCTCAGCTGCGAGACGTTGCTCCGTATCACCACGCATCTGTTCGCTTTCCACCTCCAACTGGTCCTTCTCTGCACGCAATTGCTCCGTCTCCAGACGCATCTGTTCGCTTTCCACCTCCAACTGGTCCTTCTCTGCACGCAATTGCTCCGCCTCAGATCGTAAGCTAGCACGTTCTTGCTCTGATTGCTCCACTGCTGACTTGGACTCCTCTAGTTCACCACGTACGGCCACAATTTCGGTTTGGGCAGTCTCCTTCTCAGTTTTAAGCTGTTCGAGTTGGGATTCCAAGCGCTGTTGGAGCTCGGATAGAGCGCGCTCTTTCTCGGAACCTAACTCTTGACGCAGTTGACTCATGGATTCCAGGAGACTGCGTTCCCTTTCACTAGCTGCTTCCGCTGCAGCTTCCTCGCGCTGCATCACTTGCTGCAATTGCTGCTGGAGAGAAGCGACCTGAAGCAAGATCTTCTAGAAGGACATCAACAAGAAGAAGAACTACGTAGCTGTTTCTGTTATAGTAACTACGTAGCTGTTATTATAGCAAGTATTTTTAAGTACCTTCTCTTCCCCATCCCTTCGCACCTCGTCCAACTCCTGCTCCTTCGCAGCTAAAGCGTTGTCTTTTCCCGCTATCACGCTGTCTTTCTCCGTCAACGCCCTGTCTTTCTCTGCCAAAGCCGCATTTTTTTCCGCCAGTACTTGCTCTTTTTCCATCACACACCTATCTTTCTCTACCAGAACTGAGTCTATTTCCTTCCTTCGTTCCTCCAAGGCCTTCTCTAGAGCACCGGTTTCCTTCTTCATACTCTTACCCAGTGTGTACAAGTTTTCCTGCAGCAGCTTCACTTGGCCCGCAAGCTGAGTCTTCTCAGACTCCTTAATTGAGATCTGCTGCTCCGGGATTAGACATAGACAGGGATATTGCCTTTGGGATTCAGATGCTCCGAGTGAGGGAAAGATGACACCCAAGACTGATTCTTTCGCACGGGAGTTGGAGGCGGGAACGACTGAATCTAGAAACTAAGTGGATTAACATTAACAAACCACAGCAATTATTAAGTTGTAGAAGAGGTACTATTGGCGGGAACGAAAGAATCTAGAAACTAAGATTTTTAACATCAACATTACAGTACATGGAGCCTAACATTGGCTAGCATGCCAACACCTAGACTACATAATTAACAATGAAAGTAGTAAGACAAGTCTCAACATAAAAGTTGAGAGTGCACTTGTTGCTCCTGCTTCTGCGAGTCCTCCACTCGTGTCATCTGCAATTCGAAGATTTCTTGCTGTTCGAACACGTGCTGCTGTGCCACAACCAACTCCGTCTTGAGCGTCTTATTTTCCCACTTGAGCTTGCCAAGATGCCTCTCTAGTCGAAATAATTTGCGTCCATGCTCTCCCGCCACCCGGTCTCTGGCTGCTTCGAACGCTTCAGCCTTGGTGCCACTCTCCATAGCGGAGATCATTAGCCTAGGGTTTAGGGTGGTGGTTGTTCGAGGAAGCATAGAAGTAAGTAAAACTAGTTTATAAGAAACATCATGGAGGATTTGAACTCCTCATTCGCGGAGATAGACCGTAAAAGAATACGTAGTACGTTTTCTCCTTCTCCAGCAAAGTTTTCGTCCGGTCCTTGTAGAATTCTAGGTCATCCTCCAATCTCCTGTTCTCCTTGATAACCGTGCGCAAGACCTGCTCTTCGCTCTGCAGTTTGAAAAATTCGTCGAAGATTAGAAGAACCACATTGTCTGACAAGGATTTGCAAATTATAATACTTTTGTTTCACCTATAAGAACTACAAGAATGAACGAACGTGAAAAAATTAAAATTACTCACCGAAGCATCAGCATAATAAGATGAGCCTAGGACTTTCCAAGGCCAGTACTTCGAAGGAGTTAGAATGTAGAGAGGACTTCAATCAAGTCTCTGAGGCGGCAGGCGTCAGGTGGCATTAGCTTCATAATTTCAAACTTTCCCACGTCGCAGCTCCGCCAATGTTACCTCCACCATCTCGGGTTCTCGTTCCACCTCTTGTATCAGAGACTACATTAGAGTTGTAGGGAATGCATCTCACAGATCATCTTCTGGGTCGTCGTCCTTTTTCCTTCTTCTTTTCCTTGTCCAGATGACTTTGAGTAGTGTACCCATTCCTTGTCCAGACCTGCCAGTATTGAAGACTATAATTTAAATAGTATTTTGTCCAGTATTGAAGACTAAGTATTTAATAAATATTTTCCACCACCTGCACTCATAACGACGACTGCAGGATGTTGGAGGTGCGAGAAATATCGGACCCCCTGCTCTCCATCCACATTAGAGCTGGTTGTACTTTCCGTGTCAAGCTCCACACCCGACTCTCCCTCTACTGGAGGACTGTCATCGGGAGGTCCCCCAAAAGGTGCAGCAAAAGGCGGCGCGCCTCCAGGAGAAGGAGTGCGTTGAACAACCATTTTGATTTTGGTCTATTTCTGCTAGTTGTGGTTGTCCTAGTTCTTTAGTCACGCACAATCATACTGAGGAGTGTGATTGTGTGAGTTGTCTGTGACACAACCGACGGTATTGCACTAGGGCGTGCTAGAAACAAGAGTGGGCTGTATTATATCCATAAAAAGACAGGAGAGTCTCGACATACTTACTAGTAGCAGTAGTGAGATCAAGAAAGGACCAAAAAAAACCTGTTAGTAGAAACCTCCACTGGAGGACTTCACCTGTTAAGAAATGACAAGAATACCACTAAAAATAAACTCTAATCATGTCGATCAATATAGTATATCCCAGCAAGAAGAATGTGATTGATGATGATGATGATATATTGCAATGTATAATTAGCATTCGCATCATCTTCTGACAGGCTTCAGAGAGAAGAGCCTGTATTCATGATCCTTTTCGCTTTTGCCAAATTTTCCGGAAAAGAGGTCATGCTGTGGAACAGCACCATGACAAATATATTCACGTTCTTGTTGGGACCAGGTAGAGTAGCCCCTTTGCCTTTGACAAGTTCCTTTTTACCCTTGGGCTGCCGTGATTACTTAAGCTCGTGATGTGCAGCAATTTTTTTTTCATTTTTTGGGTCTTCAAGTAAAGATATACTCTTTACAGGTGGAAGAGGCTTCTTTTATTAGAGAGTGAAGAACGAAAGAGTACTTACTATGCATAGTTGTACTAGCTGTGGTCCTCGTTGTAGTGTACTTACTATGCATAGTTGTGCTAGCTGTGGTCCTCGTTGTAGTTTGTCGTCTTCTCCTAGTTGTCGTTGGTCCCGATGTTCTTGCTCATCTTGTGGTATGCCATCTTGTACCTTACATTTTTACATGGAGTCTAACATTGGCTAGCATACCAACACCTAGACTATACGATGACACTCTGCTACCTCAGAAAGTGGAAGTAACGAAGCGCTACGAACGATGAAACAGGTTATCAAAGAATGACAGCCAGAAAGTCATCGAGAGAGCAACATGACTTAGATTCAACGGAGGTCTAGCTAGTGCTGTGGCAGTCCAAGGAATTGAGGCAGGACCTCTGTCAATGTCAAAATATTTGAAATATTAAACTTGGATATTTAATTTTCCACTTCAATACCTTCAGAAGAGGAACAGCTAAAATAATGAATAAAAATTAAAAAAAAACATTCCGGAAGATACGCTCCGACATCCGTGGCCACCTGATGTGGCGGCACCAACATCCACGTAGTTGTACCTAAGTACAAGGACAACGACAGGTAGTTGGTATAATTCATCAACATCATGGACGATTGGGATTGAAGAAGATTACAACAACTGTCCTACTACTTCTTCTCGACGGATGACAAAACAATTTCTGTGCTAGTAACTTCTCGACGGATGACAAAACTAGTATTCCAAGATAATGAATACTCAATTCACAATTTTATTACCGATTATCAACTTGTTGTTAAATGTGTACAAAAAAGTACTTGGGGTTGGTCACGACAAGAATACTTTTCATAGGCGGTCAATTCATCTGAACAGCGTGTGCCTGATGGTCACGCAAGAATGTACAAAATGACTCTAACAACAAGTACGTACGAGGGGATCACAAACATCGTCAACAAAGCTAAGAGTGAATAAATAAAGTGAATGATCGATCGGTCAGACTGAAGAACGAGCTGAAAGACTGTCGTTTTTGCTCAAGATGAGAATGAGTCTGGAACATATCACACTCGCACTGTGCCCCTTCTCTCCCCGCTAACCCAGCGCCACGCCTTTCCCGGTCTGAAGTCGCACCATCAGGAGAAGATAACGATTATTATAGCGTGGCGCTACCCGATACTCGTGTTGGAGGACTTCACATCAATCCGCAAGCGTCACCCGACTGAGTGAAGCACGAGGGTTCCTCGCCATGATCGTTGGCTCTACCACCTGACAAGGTTGATTTTGATACTTCGTAGTTCGTTCGTGATATATTACTTACTTCAATCCTCTGGTGAAGCTTCTTTGTGTTCTTCAAGGAAGATGTTGGAGAAAGTCAAGAATACGTATCTGGACTCTGGTTTGCAGCCATATTATTCATGTTTCAATGAATATCACAGTATAGAAAATTAGTATCAGATGCGAGAAGAGAAACATTCTTCAGTTGCATCCGCCTTGCTGCTTCCGCCACGCAGACCACCATGAGTTGGCTCATCCTTAGGAGGAGCTTCATCCGCTGTCTTGTCGCTACCGTCACGAAAACCACCAGGAGTTGGCTCATCCTTAGGAGGAGCTTGATCCGCCTTGCCGCTACCGTCACGAAGACGAGTTTGATCATCCAAAGTTTTGCGGGCTGAACGTTGGTGATGTTTAGTGCTGAGTGGTTGACGGGATAGGAATTATTCTATGAAGAAAATAAGGAGGAGATATCTTCAGAGAAAGAACCTGTGTAAGTCACTCAGCAAGTTGGTTGCCGCTGCCCTCTTCACATTATAATGAAGCGGAATGATGGTCATAACTTGTAAAATGTAGTACTAGTGTATCAAACGGGAAAGCTCTTTCACTTTCAAAAACACAAAAAATTCTTATCCTATTGTAAATCCTATTGAAAAATAGCTATTTCCTTTAATTATCTAGTTAAATTAGCTAGTTAAGTGGCGTGTGTGGCTGTGGAGAACCGGATGGATCGGTGCGGCTGGTGGTCAGAGTAGTTGTGGCAGATGGCACGGCAGGAGTGTCCAGTGGATGACAAGAACATGATAAAACAGAAGAAATTTGACTCTTTTTTGGTGTGCGGCACCACCTCGAAACCGATGACCCAGATGTGTCTGTTATGATGTTGCTGCAAGCTTGAAACTGATAGAAGTGAGCACTTTTTTCCACTTGAAGAAGGAGCAAACGCATCTGTATAGACCTGTCTGGCTTTTGTTCTTCGCTTCGTTTTTCGCTTGGTCGAAGTCGGCTCGTGAGAGTGGTTTGAGGAGAGAAATGCTTTGTTTTCTATATGTTTTTACGAGAGAAATGGCGAAGAGATCGGCGCAAGCTTTTGTTGATGAGGGACGAGTAAAATCGATCGTGAAAAATGGCTTGAAAAGGGTAGAACGACAGCAGTCGTGTACTTATTTCTTGACGAATGATGAGAAAAAGCGCGAGCCTTGAGATGTTTATCGAACAGGAAAGGAATATTCTCACTGAGAACCCCACTGAGAAAAGTATATACTTGATCTGAACTTAGTTACTTCGTCTGAAGTCCATAACAATAAAGATGTCTTTCGGTGGCTTCGGCAACGAGCTGGCGAACTTGAACGTCGGGCAAAAGAAGAAACTTGCCCAATCGCATGCCAATATGATGATGAGTTTGGCGCCTTACTTGGAGCCGCATGTTCGTGCCGGGCTCATCACGACGCTGCAGAATGCGAACATTGCTGAAAGTGAGCGCCTGCCGCTCGGTAAAGAGACGTTCGCAGGCAAGAAGTACCGTGGTACTAGAATTTAGATGTTATGTTTTAGATGGTATGAAGAACCTATCAGCTTATGTGTCTTTTATCACATGAGATGACAGCTCTTGGGAAGCTAGTGGTGAGAAGTGATAAGATCTACTCTATAGATTGGTCTCTTTAGCCTAGACTTTTCTTGATTTCCAGGGTTGTCCACTTGTAATCCTTCCCGTAACAATTACTCTCACCAGATGGCTGGAAGACTATTGACGCCAAGCACCACTGCAAGTGGATTGCTCGTGCTTCCTCGTGGAGTTATGCGGATGTGCAGCGCCTTGTGACCAGCGGGGACCGCGCTGTTGCGGTCTACGAGATGCTCGGAGTTCGTTCGGCTCATGTATATACTTTTCATCTGATTCTAGTACTTCTGCTTGCAATGCTTCAGATGCGACGTAGATGGTATCAAGTCCGATAGATCGCCCTCCTCAGTCGTGTAGGAGTACTTCCCTGAAACATATATTCGGACGGTGTAAAAGATCTTCCCAACCCGAAACTCTTAGCCCCCAGACGGCGAAAACGCCAAAAACGCGCCGGACGAGAAGAGTTGCGACAGTGAGATCTCCGCGTGGGCCAAACGCCATGGCAACATCGATGGCGTCTTGGAGGCAGCCCAAAAATATGCAGACTTTGGAACGCCGACCCCGGAAGAGCTGTACTACTGGCGCAAGATGATGAAGGAGATGAATCGAGTCAACGCCAGAGATGATCGCATGCTGACTAACGGTGGGGAGCAGGTACATTATCCTACTCGTGTTTTATGCATGATCTGCTTTGGTCTCTCCTCTTCGAATTCCCTTGGCTGTGCTTCAATTCACTACGGTGTCTTGCGTCCAAATCATGTTGCTCTACTTCCTATTGTGAGTAGATGCGTCCATCTTGTCTACCTCTTCTACATGTCACTCCTCAAACCAACAGGGCGATCCGTCCACACCCGCACAACCAAACAATGCGGCATCAACTGCAACTGCAGCTGGAGCTGACCGCAGTCGCTCTGATCGTCGTGCGCAACCCGCTGCTCCGAAAGACAATGCGACTCAGGGAGCCTCCCTGTTCGGCAAGACGAAGATGAAGAAGAAGGTCAATGCTAAGGCCTCGGAAACTACTGCTGCTCCTGGTCGTGTACTCGAGAAACAAGTGTCAGTCAAGTCCTCTAAGACCATGGAAATGGATGGCAATCTCCTGGAGGTGCAGATGATGTCCGATGGCACTACTCGCACCATCGTCGTGGGGAATGGCATCACGTCCAAGAAAGCGCCGGCAAGTGTCATCAAAGCAGCAAATGGCCCTGTGGGAGCCTTCCACAAGCCGAAGAGTGATCCGTTCGGATCCGGCAGCGCAAGCTCCACTACCGGCGCGAAGTCTACCAATGTGATCGTGCTCGGAGACGCGCCGGGCGGTGAGAACGAGTCGCAAGGATCGTCGTCGAAGGCCAAGATGAAAGAGCTGAAGAAAGGAGCTACGAACCGTCCGCCGACTCCGAGTAAACAGGCAGCTCCGAAGAAGGCTGAGAAGAAGCGTGCTGCAGGTCTACGTAGTCTGGTCAAGAATGCAGCTGCTGCTCGTGTCGAACTGGATGCCAACAGTCCGGACAAGAAGGCCTCTCCCGCTGCTGGTGCAGATGGTGAGATGGATACCGCCACGCCTACGACCAATCTGGCAGCCGCTTTTGCGCCACCGCCGCGCGGAGATGCTGATGAGAAGAAGGCGGCAGAGTCGTCGGCTGTGAAGATGGACGTCGATGAGAATGCCGACGAGGAGGAAGAGGAGGAAGAGGAAGAAGAAGAGGATGCTGATGATGAGGAGGTCGTCGATAGTACCGGAATGGAGCTGCCCCCGCTGGAGGAGTCGGACGCAGAGGAAGATGAAAACAAGGAAGATGAGGAAGAGGAAGTGAAGGAAGAGAAAAAGACTGAGGAATAAGTTACCACTAGACGCATCTTATATTTGGAATCTGAATTTTCTGACATCATCGACATTCATGTGAGTAAATACGAAGGGACGAAGTTTTTCAATAGTTGAAGTTATCTTATCGGGAAAGTTGTCGAATAATGTTTATAGCAGACCTGGAACGCAGACCGTGACTAAGATTAAAGACCAAAATAAATTATATTCGATTGAAATGAAGATAGTAGTAGCTCCATCTAGTTTGAGATATGTAAGTCGTTTCATCAATTCAATTGTTTGCAGGAGATAGGGACTCTATTCAGTAAGTAAGTTAATCAAGTAAGTAATTCTATTAGGCAAGTTGAATAAAAGCATTGACTTCAGTCTAAAGGGGCAGGGAAGTAGGTACATTTTGCAAAGTAGTGCCTTAAGGATACAAGGAGAGACCCATGCTCTCTCACACAGTTTTGCTATTGTATTCCGACCATAAATCTACTAGCTTCCGCCGAGTGGTATCCGCCGTGTCCTCCGTTTTTTTCGCCGCAAATTAGATTCATGAAACGAGAGATTCTCAGGAATAACCCAGTTCGGCTAATAAAGATACTGGCATCTTCTCGATGATCACAGTGGCGAACGTTACGTGTAGACCCCCGCCCCCTCATCTTCCTCTCGCTTAAAGTTGGCCTTGACTCTAGATATTTCTATTTGATTCAGTCATAGTTTAGTCAGAAATATGCCGCCGGTAGGAGCTCGTGGCCAACGTCGTGGGGACCAGGACTTTAGTGTCAACTTCTTTGAGTCTGGCAATCTGAGTGTCCGCAGGTTTTTGCCCCAGCATGTCCGGTGTAATTGGATTCGTGACCATGGGCCTGCCTATCATGCTTGGCGCGACCAGGAAGGCATCAACGACAAGAATTACGATCGCAGTCGTGGAATTGCAGCCGACGACTACGGGAATGAGGCGGTGCCAAACATTAAGTCTACTTAAACTAGATTCGTCAGGTACTCCTCTTTTGGTTGTCACTCGAGATTCATGGTTATCGACTCAAAGAAATCAGTTACATGCTCGGACTACGTTATTGTTCACCAATTGAAACACAACCTCGCACAGGTCTACTTCTTAAGATTTATGCAGGAAGTCGGAGGATACCACAACAGGCTGCTGTTCATTGCAAACCGCTGCGAGTTTGATCTCGATGACTTAGAAGAGAACTCGGCTCTCGCAGCCCAGAAGTTCGAGAAACACTTCGTGGGCGACGGAGTGACTGACTACTTTATGCTGGTGCTTTATCCTCTGAGTTTGCTACATGAGAGCAAAACTGTTTTCCTACAACCACTCTCATCTTAGATCGCTTACCATTTCTTCACTTCTCGCACGTGAGTCATCATCTTGCATCCATAACACAGAAGCGGCTTCTTGTCGGGGTGGTCGACTTCTCGGTATTCCTTGCGAAGGCGGTGGGATTGTCTGAAGTGCCATATGAGAAAGAGGAAATCGATCGGCTTGAGTGGGGAGGTTGCGTCAATATTCAATGTGACGGCTCAACGAAGGGAAAGGAGAAGAAGACAGCCTATCAGGTGCTTAGATTTCTCATCTAGGATCATTGTTCTTTGCTGATGAGTACAAAGCGAACTCATCGTGTTACTATTTCGAAAAACGAATCAAGGTGCAGTTAGGGTTTAGGTAGATTTACTTGAATCCATTCCATAAACTTATCCAGGTTTATCTTGCGATGGCAGATCCGGATGGACAGGCGCCAATTAGGTCATTCATGCAACCTTTTCCCCTGCAGCAGCCGACTCTTGCGGCTCCGGGTGGTGATAAACAGAAGAAGAAGCCTCCTCAATACGAATCATCGAAGCCGAAGGTCACCAGCCTCCTCGCGCTACTGGACTACATTGGAGGACCGAAGCTTCTCAACATCTTCGCTGCACCTATTTCGTCCGAAGAAGTGCCAGTGTTGGTACTAGATTCCGATCAGGAAGAATCGGAAGTACGCGCGGCGGCAGCAGTGGCCAGAAAGCTGGTGCGTGTAGGCCGTATCGGCCTGCACCACCGGCTTTCGAACCACGCAAACAAATGCAAGAAAATAAACCGAGTCCAGGCGGCGTTGCGCGACTTTACCGGGGGCAATATAGCTCGTGAGAGCTTACGTGGAACATACGAGACTGCACGTCGCGAGTGCATCGACCAGGCGGAGGAGGATGACGTGATGATTCCGGAGATCGAGGTGGAGACTGGGAGGACCACAGCCGAATCCTTTGACACAGGTACTTCAGAGTCTCTGGATTCATGATGATTAGGACATGAAGCTTTTCTATCCAGAATCCTTCACTTTCCGAACCCTTTTCATTGAGAATGTAATGCTGGGAGCTTCGCAAAATGGCTCCAGACTTTCAATTCTGACCTTTTCCGCAAGAATTTGAAGTTCAGACTCAATTTTCTGCTCATTTGGGGTTCTCAGGAAAACCGCTTTCAAACGGATTCTATATGGGTTTGGAGTCCAGACTTTCAAAAATAAGCGTCGGATTTGACCTCTCCAAGAAAGTCAAATCCGAAAATTCTTCAGAAACTTGAAAGTCTGAAAGCACTTTTCGAGAGCCCCTTGAACAGGCTCAGCTGAAGACCCTACTTCCCCATCAATTTCCACAGCTTCGCACCTTACGAGTATGGTCAGAACGCGTTGGTTTTCTACCGCATATGTTGGGGAATGGATCCTGAAGTGGCGGTCTACGGTCTTGCATATCCTCGAACACATCTACAATGGGCCTCGTATTACCCTGAGAACAGCCCAGCATGAAGAAGAAACTCTTCAGGAGCTGAGTGCTGAGCTCGAAGCAGGCCAAGAGGTGGACATCGATGACCTATTCCCGGCAGAGTGCAGCAATATCAACGACGGCCCTTTACCTGGTCCACAAGGGGACGACCGTCCAATCGTGAACGCCGCAAGTCCCAACGAAGACGCAGATGAGGAGGTGCCACCTGATCCAGCTAGTCAGCCTGTAGTTGCGGCTGGAGGTGCGCCGGACACAGGATCACGAAGGAAGGTGAAGGAGTTGATCGATGCACTGAAAGACATCGATGTGCAGGAGGTGCGGCATCATATGCGTATCATTCGCAAGCCGTGGCAGTTTCATAAGCTGCACCTGAAGATGACCTACGGGCTGCAGCTGGTAGAAGGTGACTCGACTGAGTACGATGCTGCTCTGGCTAACATGTGGCCAATGCTCGACTGCAACGGTGGGGCCCATTCGTTTCTGTTCGATGTAGCGGAGCATCTACCCCAGATCCTCCTCGGCTTCGTTCAAGACGCACTAACAGCAGTTTGGTCTCCGGCCGAGTGGACTCGAGTGGCAAAGTTTAGTTGTTTAGTCCTCCGACAGTACTACTATGAGAAGTGGGATCCATCATACAACTTGTGGCTGAGCATCTTCTCCCGGAAATCAGTACGGCTCAGCTTGGTCCTCGATCCTCTCTTCAAAGGCCTGCATGAGCTGAATCGATTCGGTCGCCAGATGTACGAGTACGCGAAGACTGGCAAGGAGGACATAGGACAACAAGTAGTAGAAAAAGTAGTTGTTAGTGGATCAACATCTGACTCCGAGGGAGAATCCCATTGGAGATGGGTCTCCCTCGCTTCGAAGGTGATCAGAAAACTGCAGGGAAAGTTTAGACTTTCATATCAACGTCTGAGCTGGTTGAGTAAACTCGAAGTCTTCGAGGCGATGCCCCAGTTCTTCCGTGACCACGAGTCTAAGATCATCCCAGCACCATCCATTCGTCCCGCGGTCTTCCGGGCGCAACATCGACAGGAGGTTGTTCAGGCAGCAGCCGCAAAAGCGAAGGAGGCGAAGACCCGCGTGCAGCAGTTCAAGGACTTGGAGGACCTAGTCAAGTCCCGACCTCTGAGCTCGGAAGCCACACGTCTCAAAGGCGAAATCCATCGTGAATGTACATCGCAGGAAATCATGTCGCACCCGGAGACGTACTTCGTGAAGGGGTTAGAGACGGCCGTCTTCTCTGGCCTCAAGCTGTCTCGCGATCGCAAGAGCTTCCGTCTGTTGCTGCGGCTCAGCATGATTCTAGTCCGCGTTCTGGGTCTGGCGAAGCGTCTCAGTAAAGATGTGATGCCACTAGTTTTCATCGACTTGCACCGATACTCACGGCCGGTCTTGGTGATAGAGATCAAAAACGGAATGTACTACGGGTTCGAGATGGCCACAGACGAGACTGTCAAGGTGTTCGAGTACTGCTACGATAACTCTCGTCTTTGTTGCGGCTTGGTCTGTCACTGCTGGATGATCGAATCATACGACTGGTCATTTCCGGAAGGAGCCATCCACATCAAATCCAATGGCAATCTGATCACGTTCAGGGACATGCTTCGGGAGAATGTCAACTCCATCACCTTTGACGACCTGCAGCCAACCATAGAGATGCTCATCGATGAAGACATGGAGTACGACAACGACATTCCAGAGCAAACGATGAGGGACTGCATCGCCGAAATTCTCGAGCGTGACGACCATGAACGAGCAAAAAGAATCATCAAGAAGCGACTCCGGGGTAGATGGGTCTCGGCGGGAAACATCGAACCGCCATCCAAGAGAGCTAGGCCCATCGCTGATGGCGAAGCCCCTGCGGCTGGCCGACCAGCTGGCGCTGCAGGTGAAAATGATGGACGTGAATATCTGGGCAGGGTTGCAAACGAAATGGAGTGGCACATCGGCTGCGAAAAGTGTAATCGTGTGGTCGCCAGAGTGATGAAAACAGAACGTCGGAAGAACGCGCTCGGGCGTGCGCTGTACCTGAAGTACGACAAGACCCAGAAGCTAGAGGCCGGCGATGTGAAGAACCCTACGAGACTGTGGCCGCCGAACACTTCTGCGACCGACAAGATCGAGGAATGGAAGTGGCTTGAAGGAGTTGCTAAAGTGCACCAGCGGGTCTGCATCAATCCCAATCTGGTAGTCCACGAGTTCGACCTGAGGTTAGCAGCAGAAGACGACCTCCTGTAATGGATTTCGCCACTGTTTGGCTAGCTGGAGGGATTTTCTTCTTTCCTCCAGTAGCAATGCTGCAGTCGTTCAGACTGATTTGCGCAATTTTTGGTAGATTTTTTCTTGAATAGTATCAACATCATACAAGTTATTTTGATTGAAGTGAACCTCTGACGCGAGACTTAACAATTTGGATTCACTTGGAAACTTACTTTGGCCCTTGATCTAGAGCCGACGGCTTCCGAGTCGGACCTTATCGCAAATGTAAAAACTTTAGGAGGCCAGTACTGACTTAGTTCATCTCGAGGAAATTCGTCAACATATGAGTTCCACTATTGTGTACTCTTGTCTTAATTTTTTTGATGTAGTGCGACATCTACGCTCAACGCCCGGGGAGCATTTTGTCTCCATTGGCAATCCTGTACAACCTTGAACAGAAAGAAACTAGCTTGGTTCAATTGATAAAGTTACTGACTTTGCATGAAGGAAAACCGTTTAGCCTAAGAGTGAAATCACACAACTGGGAAAGCATCTGGGAGTGAAATCTTGAAGGTCAGTTTGAGATTAAGCGTGAGCATATAGCATATTGTTGAGGGAAAACGTTCGATAGACAAGTAATAAAATGAATTTGACACGAGTGAAAATCATAGCCAAGTGGTGCACTGCTTACAAGATTACGCAGCAGGAGCTTCGTTGAAGCTTATCCTTGGAATCAAGTAGATGAATCAAATGAAGCTCTTCTATGAGACCTATCAGATCAAGACAGCACGCAGAAGAATTTAAGGTGAAAGCTCTTCCTCATAATCCTGTTCCCGAGTATCACGCTGTTCCACCGTGTTCCCCATTAAGCAAATAGCTCCAGCATTGAGCTCTATTTGAGCCACTTCGGAAGTTGTGCCCTTCTTCGATCGTTCTGCTTCAACAAGTACTGGTCTATCCAGCTCGGCTTTGGATATCGTACATACGCAGGCCCCTTTGGGTAGAGACAAATAGAACCAACCCAGTTGCTCTGATCGTTTTCGCTCCTAGAATCAAGTTGAGAGATTGCATCATAATCATAATTATCAAGGATCCACGTTGTAACTAGGTAAGAGCTATTTCTGCAGGGAATATTGTGCTTCAGCAACCATCTGAATAGGAGCAAAGTGTAAACATTCGACTAGAAATATATTGGGGAGCCTAATCATAAGATGGCAGGGCGCGAGTGCCTCTCGCTCGTGAGCTTCTTCGGCGCGTAGCCGTTCTCAATCAGCTGGGTGATCGGCACCACATAGGTGCCCCACAGATCATCTGCGGGTCCCTCGTCTTTGCGAACGTGGATGAGGACGCAATCAACCTCATCAGCCTTAAAACCTTCTCCGTTTTTGCTGTATGAGATGGTTGGTTGTGGTTGGTGTGTCGACTGCTATGGGGATCGTATCCTATCCATTGCACTCCGATGCTACGCTGGATTGAAGGTGCAGCTATTCAGATGATGCAGCTACACTAGATCAGAAAAGCCCGTATATACTCTTATAAATCACCTAGCTGATTGCCTATCTGGTGCGGATTATCCTATAGTACCGCTTAAGATTTGCCCATAGCCCCACTACGCGTTTCTGTCTGTCCTTTTTGAATTTGCTAACCCGCTCCTGGCATCGAAAACTCTTGCCAGATGGTGTGTGTAGTAAGCCATCCACGACGGTAAAACCTTTTCCATTTATTTCGTAGACTAGCCCGGCACCCTGAGCAAGTCGGACAAACTGAGACCTGCAGCGGGCCTCAGTAAGCTGGCCCTGCGTGGTCGAAGTGATTTCCCCGATTTGATCTAGTGGGCATGTGGTCATCTCGTTCCAAAGGTCTTCCAGGCGCTGCCCTAGGGCTTCAGGCTCAGCCCAGAACTGTGGGTCAGATAGGTCACAGGCGTCCCACTTGGTATGTTGATTGATGGGCACGATGAGCACCTTCTTGGAGTTCTTGTTTAGGCCTACCACAACACAGTTGTGGTAAGCCTGCCTCTTCGTTCGTATGCAATGCCGTACCCCTTTCAGCCATTTCGCCGCTGTGTTTTTGCTGCCTTTGACTTGAACCAAGAGGTATCGCCTACGGCTTCGAGGTGTAGTCTTAGGGCAAAGACCTAAGTCGGCCACATACTCAGGAATATCAGCAACCAGATGGGTCTCTTCTACATATGATTTCAATAAGGCAATACTCCACTCTTCAATTTCTCTAGGTAGATTCCCCATTATGGTACTACCAAAGCCTACTCTTACACAACATAACGACCCACATAAGCTGGCCTGCTCTGTCTGATGGTTCGGGAATGATATGGCACCAGCGTCATGCTGTTAGAGTCGAAGATTATGACTTAAGTCCGAACCTTTACTTTCTAGATCCCTGAGTCTTCCTCTCTTATTATCATTCTACTACTACAATATGCTAAGTTCTTCATTATCTGCCCTCATTTTGAACCCATTCTTAAGGTATTTCGGCACCGGATTTGCGCTCGGAACTTGCTCGGATATCATTCTCATTTCAAGACTTTGCCGAATTTGTTGATCCCGTTGTGGATGGGTTTCGAGGTGGTGCCGCACATCACAACATCATCAAATTTCTTGGGTTCTATCTCATTCTTGGCATCAAATGGAGACTCGTGCCATGCTACCTGCCACAAATACTCTGCTCACCAGCCGCACAGCTCCACCCGGTCTTCCACAGCCACGCCAGATCCTTAACTAGCTACTTTAACTAAATATTGAGTTAAGCTATCTATTTTCTAATGGTATTAAGAGTGGTATGAAAATTTTTTGTGTTTTTGAAAGTGAAAGAGCTTTCCCGTTTGATATAGTGGTCATAAAGTAACAGTAACTAAGTACCTTCTCTGATATCCGCCAGGACCTTGGGATCCCACTCCGTGCCTGACCGAATGCGGCTATCGATCACTTGTGCGAATTGCCTGTATTTCTTCGAGAGCACAATGTGCTTCTCTGACTTTCTGACCCATCCGCCCTCCACCGCCTCACTTTTTTCCTCGATGAGCCTTTCCCACTCTTCCTCGATTTTCCCATCTATTTATGAAAGTAGCTGTACAAAAGGAAAAGCGCAATCAACTGCAACGCTGTATTAAACGCGATCTGAACCTTCGTGCTCAATAGCAGGATTAGTTTCAGGTAAGTAGTTGCGCTTCTTCAAAAAGTCTCCTCATAAATCTAAATGGGCTTCTTGCCTAGACGAAACGGTATAAAAATGCCTGAACCCGCAAGCTAGCGTCCAGTAATAGCGGAGCACATCCGCGAGCTCAACACTATATTCAGGACGAAATTCGTCATGCAAGTGCTTGAGAAAATCGACATTCGTCAGAGCTAGCAGATATCTTGCGTCGACGCTCGTCAGATGCTCCTTCATCCGCATCACATCAGTAAGCTCATTGTCTGTCACAGCTGGGATATCTGGAAATATGAAGCCGCTAATCTGTTCGGGAGTATACTTCTGACCCAAAACTTTCGCTTGCAAGTCATAAGAGCGCCCACCCGTGTTGGAGTTGAACCACAGGGCCACAGACTGCGAAGCCTTGGGACGTTTCTCATGGAGAAACGCCGAGCGGCGCTCCTGCTTGATGCAGTTGGACTCACAGCCTGAGAGGACTGGCGACCTCTGGCCGGTTTGATGTTGATCCCTGTGGATATCCATTGGGGCCGCGGGGCCGTCTCTACTGTCTCAGGGGGTTGCATGATGGGGAACATTTCACGCGCCCATATGAATAGCTCCACGCCGTCGCCATCAGCCTCATGCGATCACCTACGCCGGCACCCGTCTAGACCTATCTAAGCCCTCTGGATGAATATGCATCAGATCACGCAAAAACTCAACTTACCACGAGCATGCGCTTTGGCGATCTTTATGCGCTTTGAACTGGTCGGAACTCAGTGGGAATTTACGGACATGGCTACGGCTATGGGAACACGCGGCGCCTCCTATCTGAGACGCCGAAGGCCCTAGCTTTGCCCGCTTATCCATGACTTTGGAGCGATACGCATCTAAGGGCACAAGCTTTCCAGGGGTCTTTCCGGTGGTGCTTTGTCCTTGACTGGGCTGAGAGATTGAAACAACGAAAGAGAGAGGAGACAAAACTAGAGGCACCCGCGTGACTGTAAATGGCTAATCTAGTTGTTGCCAACTAATCGAACAGCGATACTTTGATCGCAACTCATCGATCGCCAAGGACGTCGATGTTGGTATTTTATGGGTAAAAACAAAACCTAAAGGTTCATTACAATCATCAAGGTGATACAAAAATCGTTCGAAGTTGTTTAGAACGTCTTTAGTTATGGATGGCGCACCATCATCAGTTTCAGTTTTTGTGTCTCTCGTCGTGTTCGGTCTCGTTCCGTTCCAACAAAACTTACACAACTTTATCTTCTTTCTTTTACTTTCTCTTACTTTCTTCTTCCTTCTTTACTTTCACTTTCTTCAAAGAAAACAACAAAAGATATACAGACTTTATGCACCGAAAATTCAGCCTACCGCTGATCTTATACTTCTTTCTTGACTACTTTCTCTTAGTCTGAAAACGTAGTTGAAAAGTCACTTACAACCCTGCCTCCTAGTCAAGAAAGAAAACTACAAACGTTAGTACAACAAAACTACTTGTATAACCCTGCCTCCTAGTTTTCTGTAGTGGGATGACAACATTACGCAAGCAACTTTCGATCTGTCAAAAATACTTCAAAATATGTTAAACTAAAAGTACTCCCGTAAGTGTGTTTTTCATGTTGGAACTTCTTTAGACAAGACATGTAACTTAATGGCTACTGTGATGCAACGCAAAGAAACAGTAGTAAAACTTGTTGTTAAGCAAAAGGTAAACCCGGTTGGTCGCTGGCCGGAGCAGCGTGTCTTGTCTCACTCCCTACTTACTGTTGTATAGTGCTGAAGTATCCTTTACTTCAGCACTTTTCTCCCTACTTCTGACTGAGTAAACTGTTAGTCGAACTCTTAGAACTTGAAAACTGAACAGAATAAGTGAACGAAAGATGTCAAAGTCCTGCCGGGACGGTAGTCGAAAGCACAAATATTACTGATGTCAGCGCAATCTAAGTAATATTCTGCGTGAAGCAAGTCGTAGTAGAAATGTAACTTTTTACTTGTAACTCGCGCGAAGCGTACTGTTGTGGATACTGTTAAACAAGTTAAAGCACCCTTAAGTGGAAGTCGTAGCTGTTTTTATTTTACAAGTGAGAGAAACTAACTTTCTGTTACTTGTACTGGAGAAGCAAACTTAGTTGAATGTTAACAAATATTGAGGATTTGAAAGACATTCGAAATGAATCCGTAGTAAGTGGCATATGATTTTGAACGTGGACAATTTAGCAGAAAAAGTTTTCAACTCCTTCCCCTCATTGTACACTCCAACTTGTCTCGTAGCCGACTCAAGGTTTTTCCAAAGTTGTTTTGTGCGTGACAAGGTTGGACAAATATCATATGCTTGAAGAGAAGTCGAATTATGCGTATTCGGAATGGTAATCCTTCAAAGGGATCACCCGCGAAGCGTTGACCTTAAACGATTTCTTCGGAGCCACGTTGTCCATCGACTCGACTAAAATCGCCTGTCCATACGTTTCCACAACACGGAACGGACCGCGCGCCAAAGGCTGCAGGCGATGAGAAATTCCAGTGTTGTGCTCGAAAGCTGTATTAGCCACGTAAACTAGGTCGCCAACTCGAATGCCGTGATCTTTTACCTGATCTACATATGCCTCGATGAGTTCTTCTGCTCGCTCGCGAATCATATCGTGAGTCTCTGCCAACCATTCGAGTCGCTCGATCCAGTACTTTTCGAAATACTCGCTACTGGAACCGGTTGAAAAATGTAATGTAGACGAAGGCATCCACCCATGTACAACTTGAAATGGTGAAAGTCCAAAACGACCTGTCTGCGTGTGGCATCGAAAAGCCCACTGAAAAGGCATAACGTACTGCACCCAATCAGCGCGACCTCCTGTTTGAAGTAGAAAACTGCGAAGGTACTCGTTGAGAAGTCGATGTGTTCTTTCGATGAGTGACTGAGATGTGGGGTTGTATGCACTACCTCGAACGTGACGAAAATGAAACATCTCGCTCATCTTGATGATAATCTGCGCAATGAAATGCGAACCACGATCGCTGCGTAGCTCTCGAAACGGTCCATAGGAACAGACCACATCCTCGAAGAGAAATTTCGCCACTGCCTCCGAAGTTGCTTCCTTCACGCAACGTAGAAAAATCCAACCACTAAAACGGCAGATACAAGTGAGGACGTAGACGAAATCCATGCAAGGTGTTAGAGGTCCAACGAAGTCGATCTCATAAGAGTCAAAAGGATGCGTAAGCATACTAGATCTCGGATATGATCTGACGATCGCGCGTCGCTTACTCTGTGCGCAAATCTTGCATGCTCTGCAGAAAACACGAACTTGACGTCGCATCCCTTCCCACAAAAAATGTTGTCTGATCCTTGCTAGTGTAGTATCGCGACCTTGATGTCCTGCGTCGAGTGGTGAGCAGTGGAAGTATTGAAGGATACTTGCGCGATACTTCTTCGGTACGAATACTCTGTAGGAAAACGCGAACTCGTCAAAGGTCTGCTTGCGCAAGATTTTCTTTTCTGTGTAGTTTGCTAGTGGTAGCCAGGCGAAGTCGTTGAGTAGTCCACGCTTGCCACGTTGTTCGACGTAGTCACGTTGTGCATCTAGAAACTCTTGCATATTGATGTCGATAGCCTCTAGATCGATGTGGATCACTGCCTTACCAGGTGTAAACCCCTGCTGCATCTCTTGAAGTACGTCACTAGCTGGAGGACATGCAAGATCTGCGTCGTTGTCTGTAGCATTGCTGCTGCCTCCATGCTCTGCTTGATGAAGTTCACTAGATGTAATCTCGTCACTTAGTTTCTGTTCGTCCGATGCTGATTGTTGTAAAACAAGTGGTGAAGCAGAAGATGAGTCTTGTTGCTGCTCTTCTACTGGTGCAGCATCTCGTAAAGCAGAGACATCTTGTGGCTCATTAACAACAGGCGCTACTGCGTCCAATTCGCCATCGAAAAACTGCCATCGTCATAGAATGGCTCGTCCTGATACCTAGCATTCAGCTTGAAGTTCTTCGATTTGACTTCAGCAGAACTACCACGAAGTGCATACTGCATATACTTCAGTGCTCTGCGGTGTCCGAGCACTTTTTGCGACAGCCAGAGTTCTTTTCTCTTCTGTCCATCACGACACGGGAAGGCCTCCTTCACCTTGATGACGTATCCAAAACCTCGATCGTCGGTCCAGTGTCGTACTGCGACCTCCCCTGGTATGATGGTAGACGGAAGACGAAGCTGCGCTGCTTTGCGTTTCGCGATCGTGACACAAACTCGAGCGCGTTCTGCTGCCTCCGTAAATGTTGTCGAATTTGTCGGAGGAAAATTGTTAGGAAAGTTCGGCAGCTTGTTCACGATGTCGCTGAGGCAAGCTTGTTGCGCTGATGTTGCTGCTAATGATAAGGAAGCTACGACTAGTTTGTTGGGCTTAGACGAAGATTTTGCCTTCGCCTTTGGCACCTTAACAGGTGCCACCGGCTTAGTTGTAGCGCGCACTCGTTCCTTGCGAGCACGTTCTACATGTGCCTCTCGAAAACGATCTAACGTCGGTAGAAATTCATCGGCTAACTCGATCCCGTACAAACGAACAACTAACTCGCGAACTGGCATACCGTCAGCGATAGCACGCCCAAACTCGCACTTTGCTGCATCGGCTCCAGGAAAATGACGAGACAAGAAGTCGGGCCCTGGAAGGTCCGCTCCTGGTGTCAACGAGAATTCGAATGTGTCCCCGCACTCCTGGAAGATGTCTAAAGCCCATCGATTCGTCTTCTTCAAAACTCGCTTACTAGATAGATCTCGTTGAAGACGATCCTTTGTCCTTTCTTTGATGTTGTCGTTGTTGCGATGATCATGATGAGTAATGACATGCTGTCCACGAATGGTGTCCTTGCAGCCTAACATAGCAAAACGCACTGCGTCGAATTCTTTTTCTGTGATGTTCCAAAAGATCTCGTAACCCTTGAAAACTTTGTAGTCGAGGTCGATAATGATTGGTTTCTGATGTCCCTCAGGATCCGTCTGGATCAACCAATATGCGGCGCAAACGTCAGAAGAGTCGCATAAGATGTGCCACTTCCAATTGTTACGAGGCGGAGAAAGCTCGATCTCTGTAATGTTCTTGCGCAACATGTCTACTGCCTTCTTGCCGTTGTCGTCTTTGAGAAAATCGCTTTCAAACGAAACGCCTTTCTTGCTGTAGCGATTCAGCGGAAGGATGATCTCTCCGAAATATGGATAAAACTTGCTTAACCATTGCCCCATACATCTGAAGCTCACAACGTCATCAATAGACTTTGGCTCTGGAAGTTGTTGCATCATCAACTTGTGCTTCTTGCTGACTGATACTCCACGACGAACGGCGTGACCTAGAAGAGATGCTTCCTCGCTGATGAAATTTGTCTTGTCCCAATTCAACAGCCATCCTCGTTGGGCGAGCATCTTCAAAATGAGCACACATCTGCGAACGTGCTCCTTGATCACTGCAGGAGTAATCTCCCCGTTTTCAGCTGGTGTACCCGCATAGAGATCATCCAAAAAGTTCTTCACGATGTCGAAAAGCTCTGCATGAGTGATGTCTCCCTGTACTGCAGATTGAAAGAAACTAGGAAAATCAGAACCACCAAAGCCCATCGTCTGCGGCTCAAACTTGCGCTTGTTCCAGACGAAGGTGTATAGTTCTTTTGCGAGTGGCGATAGTTCGATCTGATTGTATCCTTGCACTAAATCGCCGGTGAAATGCAAAGCGTTTGGTTTTGCAAATTCCAAGAAGTCTGCAATCGTAGGTTGTGGAAAACGGTGTGGAACTGTGATGTCATTCACGCCGGTGTGGTTGTAGATGAAACGACCTAGCTCCTGTTTACCATCTTGATCGATGACAAAAGTAGGACTGTGGTAACGAGTGGGATGATTTATTTCTTTTGCTAATCCATCCTCGATCATCCACCTGACGTGTGCATCGCCACGAATCGTATCGAACTCCGTTGGCGTGTAGTTGATCATCTTCGCGAATCGATGTCGATGTTTGCGCTCCAGCTCTGGATCGACTTGTGGGTCGTAGACGATGCCCTTAACTGTTTTGAAACGAATTCCTTTTCTCCAGATGATCTCAGAGTGGTTGGCAATTTCTTGCACTAAGACGTCAAGTGCCTCCTTGCATTTATGCCCCACCCAAGCGTACTTTTTCTTCGCTGCTGCTCTAAGCTCATCTTTGTACTCCTTAGAAGATGGATCTAGACGTTTGTACTCGGATCGCTCCTTGTCCTTCTTTGCGATTGCTGCTTGTAGTTCCTCAAACTTACCGGCCCACTTGGCTTTGCGGGTGGCTTTCGCAGTAGAAGCAGCAATGTAGACATGGAATGGGTTTGACCCTATCTGTGTCCTGTTCGTTGGAGAAGCAAAAGTGGCAGCTACAACACAATCGTCGAAGTAGTCGCGAGGAGTGTAAATTTCTCGCGAAATGTTGTCATTGTCGTTAATGTAGTAGTACGTCCCTACATGTTGTGGACCTGACCCGAAATCGTAGTACGTTGGTGTGAACTGTTGAAACTCGAGTGTCGGAAAACCGACCAAGCACGGAAAAGCCATCGCCAAGAGCAAGAAAACGAAAAGCACAGGGTACAGCTTGTTGCTGATGGCGTCGATACGATGTGCGCGAATAACTGCATAGTCAGAAGAGATCTCGCCCCTGTCGTCATCCTTAAACGACATGCACTCGATCGGAGGACCAGAAAACTCGCGTAGGATTTCTTTCTTTGCTCCTTCGTCTTTTTTCAAACTGTTGAAACACCTGCGATCTAAGAGCGTCTTTCCTGAGCAAGAGTCGTCTTTGACCTTGAGAAAGGTGTCTCCGATCTTCAACCAAGATTCGAGATGATCCCTACCACTAACTATGTTGATGGAAATCTTTTCTGGTTCCTTGTTTTTGGTCTCCTCTACTAGCTGATCTGCAGCGATCTGCGTCTCCTGTTCTTGTTTCTCGTCATGTTTAGAAGATGTGACAACTAATTGCTGTGCCGAAAAGTTGTTGGTCGAAGGTGAAAACTCTGATACTGCAAAAGCTTGCTGTTGTTGGAATGCCACGAAATCGAGCTTGTTGTTGCTAACATAGTGATCGTAGAACTCCTGCACTTTTTCCTCGTCTGAAGTAGTGGAAGTAGACGTAGAGGCTGTAGATGAGGAAACGTCACCACTAGCAGAAGAGTTCTCTTTCGTTCTAATCGCGAAGAGGTCTGTCTTGACAAGACCTGCGAATACTCCACGCTGGATGTCTTCTGCTGATGGTTCCAAATCCGTACAAGCTGGCGCGTCGTCTCTCTCCTCTGGATAACCATCCAAAGCGGCAACGTGTGACGTTGAAGCTCCTTTCTCTTTCCGCAACTGCTCGTTGTGTTGTTTGGCGCGATGAGTTCTTGATCTACACTCTACACCCTTGTATTTGAAGTTGCACTTGTCGCCCTGCTTGAACAACTTGACTCGCTCGTCCTTATCAAGCAGCTTCGAAGGGCAACCTCTGATGCCAGGATGTTGTCCACCACAAAACCCACATTGTGGAACTTTCTTGGGATCGATATTATCCCCTTTATTTCCTTTGCCTTTTCCTTTGTCCTTCGTACTACGACTACCACCACCACTTTTGTCGTCTCCTTTGCCCTTGCCCTTATTTCTCTTATCTCCTTTACCTTTGCTAACATCTGACTTCGGGCGAGCCTCCCAAACGCCTGTCCTTGATGTTCCACCTGATGGCTGTGCTGCAATCCATCTTCGTACGATGTTGATGACAGAGATGGGCTTGCCACCACCAATCGGGCCAAGATGTGATCGCATAGGATCTTGCGGTGCTTGACTTCCAAGGATCTGAAGCACTTTGTCAGAGGGCACTTCTACGCAATTCGGGACTGCGTCTTCTTGTTGTAGTTCTACGAATGACTTGACTGCTGGCGGTAGTTTTTCGATGAAGTCTGGCACTTCTCTGAGCGACTGGACAACTACTCCTGCTTCCATCAGTCGCGCTCTTGCTATGCGATAACGAGTGCAGAATTTGTCGAAGGCTTTGAGGTTGGCTACGTCGGCGTCAGTTGCTCGTAATGCATTGTACTCGCGAGTTGACTCTGTCTGCTTCTTCGCCACTCGAGTACCCACGCGTTCTGGCAAAAACTCATCGAGCAAAAATGTCTGAAGCTCGTCCCACTGGTCGCTATCCAGTTTCGTGTCGCTGTAGTAGACATCTTCGGTGACAATGCGAACGAAGTCGGCCATGTGCGATTGAGCGCTACTATTCTCAACCGTGCAAGATTCTAGAGTTCGAATGAAGTCCCAAGAATTCTTTAGGCCTTGCTGCGAGCAAGCCGTCTTGAATTTCTTGAGCTCATGCTCGAAAGTGCTGGGGTTGTCGAACTTGATCTTACCCTGGCACTCCCTCTTGACATTTGCGATCGCCTTTTGCGGATTTGCACCACTAGAATCATATGCCGACGAGCTGCTTTGTGCGTTCTCGATAACTTCGCGCATCGTCTCATTAGAGTTTTCAACTACTGCTGTGAGAACTTCTTGCAAGTCCTCCTTGTCGATGCCCTCGCGGGCTGGCGTGTTCGATAAATTGATTACCGCCTGCGAAATTTGTTGTAGTAGTTGTTGCTGTACTGATGATCCTTTTTCACCACTAGCCGATGAGTCAGACGACGTATCCCGACTCCGTCTCGACTTCCTCTTGCTGCTCTTCCTACCACGAGTCGGCTCGGTTGGAGTCTCTGGACTCGGCAAAACGTAGTAGTCTGTGATCCCTGCCACTGTATCCAGCAGCGTTGAAAATGTAGTTCCCGAAGCAGAGAAGAAGTTTGGAGTTGTTGGATCACGCACTACAAATTTTTCATGGAGAGTGACTAGTCTCATGTAGATGAGCTCTCCTTTTTCGTTTACCATTTCTAGGTCCGACAGTCGTTCTGCAGCGCTTTCCTGCATCGACATGGGCCACAACTTTTGATCTATTGTTGGGCTCCATCCTTCTGCTGGATTTACCGCGACGATCTCCAGCAGTGCTACATGAGAGCGGTTTCCATCGCAACGCCTGAGAAAGATGTGGTAACCACTTCTGTTGTTGTTATCTGCTATGACGCAAGTGCATCCCGCTATCAGTGGACGCTTCGAAATTGCAGATGATCTAGGTGGTGGCGAGGGAGGTGGAGGAGGTGACGAAGACTTCACTGAAATCCGTCCTCCCTGGCCATCCTCTGGAGAGCCCATGTTCATTCTGGGTGTTGTCTCCAGCACTGGTCTACTAGAAGATGACGACGATGATGGGTCGAACCCGCCATCGCCTGACGGCGAGCTCATCTTTCTCCACCACTAGAAATAGTTGCTGTTGTTTGTCTCCCTTGATCGTTTCGAAAGTGATCAAGTGAGTTGAAATCGGAAGCGAAAAACAATCGATCCTCGAACTGCGAAACAGTGCTCCAAGTCCAAATCCAATCGAAAACGTAGGCCGAAATTAGAACGGTAAAAATCCCTCATCCACGGCCGCCGCAAGCATTTACCTGTCTGGAATCGTTCATGAGAGTATCCGTGGGAGAAAATGGAAACGCTCAACTTCGCAACCAATATTGAAACTTTTTGACCGCGGTCAACCAGAGTGGATTTGGTATATTTATACCGTTGGGGAACTGAGTCCCTGCTTCGACTAACGTTTGGTCTCGACCGAACTTTGATCTTGAAATTTGTAAACGCCGAAAGTGTGGACGTGAAGATTCTGAAAATCCTGCGCGTTTAAGTCCGTGGAAAATGGTCCAGAAAATGCAAATTTTGAAAATTTGCGATGAGGCCCCCTTGTATTTTGGCAGCAAGATATCGGCGTCGGTGCCGAAAACCCGTAAAATCGTCCCCAAACGACGAAGTTCGGAGACGAAACCCGTTCGGCGCTTGAAACTCGGAAACGTGTCGTCTCCTCGACTTGAAACTCGTGCCCAAGCGTAAACCGAAACCAACTTTGTGTAAGTACCGAGACCCCTTGAAACTCGAGTTGAATCGTCAAACCGGAAACCAGAATCCACGTACCCGAAAACGTAGTCCACTTGAACTCGCAAACGTACGTCAGAAACGCAATCCAACGCGCGCGAAGTCCCAGCTTGAAACTCGCAAGACCGTACGTCAACCCAAGATTCAACGTACTCAAAAAACCCAAAATGAAAGCGCAACCCGAGGTAAAACGTAACCCAAGGTAAAACGTGACCCAAGGTAAAACGTAACCCAAGGTAAAACGTAACCCAAGGTAAAACGTAACCCAAGGTAAAACGTAACCCAAAGTAAAGCGTGAACCAAGGTAAAACGTAACCCAAGATAACACGTAACCCAAGGTAAAACCGAGATCCAAGGTATATCGGGCCCAAGGTCTAACGTACTGGACTCGTATGAAGGTGTCGTGTGCCCCACTTGAAACGCGTGTACTTTATCCGTCAAAGCGAGGTCAAACGCACATGAAAGCCCACCGGAATTTTGTAAAGTCCATCGGCAAGAAAAATCGCATCCGAATATTCGTCCCGGTTCCCTCCACTGCCGCCGCAAATAACCTAGCTTGTTTGGTCCATGAGAGTACCCGTTGCAGCAGGTGGAAGATATCGGAAATGTGTACTTTTACCAATGAGAAAAACAACAAGAGTTTTGAATTTGGTATATTAATACCGGTAGGGGAGTCAGTCCCCGCGTCGAGAGTGCTTCTGTCGATCTCTCGCAAAGAGAGGAAGCCGAAATCTTGAAAATCGAGACTCGCAGTTGTCTCTTACGAATTTGCTGAATAAGCCGACGAATTTTGACTCATCTCGTCGACTTCTTGATAGTGAGCAATCGGTTGGTTGTGCGGTTGCAGGTTTATCGGTCCTCTTTCCGCAACGAAGTCTAGGTGTGCAGCTCGGTGATCGTGCACCCTTGCTACTTCCGGTGGTAGCAGTTGTTCCCGTAACAACTGCACCTCGGTGCGGAGGAACCGAAGTTCCGTCTGGATGTCCTCCGCCCGACGGTTCTCAGCGTAGATGATTTGGCGTAATGTTTGTTCTACTGATCGCCAAAATCTTCGCAATTCCTCAATGATAGTTTCGCTATTCTCCTTGACTTGTCTCAGAATTTTAAACATCTGGCGAAGGAGAGGAAGGAGAAGTAGTTTTTTCGAGACGAAGTAGAAGTAGGCGGCTTACTGGATTCTGCGCGAGACGACGAGTTGCAGAAAACCAGGTGCCCGAATGAAAAGGATCGACGATTATCCTCCAGAACGTTCTTGATCAAAAACTTGAGCGTTAGTTTGCCGGCTTGCCCATGTTTTTATTCCTCTTTCATTGGTGATTTGAGGGTCTTTAAATGTGTGATGAATCTATCACCTCTCGTCGGGTTGTGGCCCCCGCTCGAGAGTTGCATACTCTACTGTTAAGCCGACTTATTCAAAACTTTACGAAATTACCCAAAAAATCTTTCAATTCGTGATTTGAACAGCCCCCAGTTGTAAGTGGCTAATCTAGTTGTTGTCAACTAATCGAACAGCGATACTTTGATCGCAACTCATCGATCGCCAAGGACGTCGATGTTGGTACTTTATGGGTAAAAACAAAACCTAATGGCTCATTACAATCATCAAGGTGATACAAAAATCGTTCGAAGTTGTTTAGAACGTCTTTAGTTATGGATGGCGCACCATCATCAGTTTCAGTTTTTGTGTCTCTCGTCGTGTTCGGTCTCGTTCCGTTCCAACAAAACTTACACAACTTTATCTTCTTTCTTTTACTTTCTCTTACTTTCTTCTTCCTTCTTTACTTTCACTTTCTTCAAAGAAAACAACAAAAGATATACAGACTTTATGCACCGAAAATTCAGCCTACCGCTGATCTTATACTTCTTTCTTGACTACTTTCTCTTAGTCTGAAAACGTAGTTGAAAAGTCACTTACAGTGACGGCACGCCCGTCAATCCGCTACCAGACTGCCAGACGCGGGAGACCATGGACACCCGCCCCGACCATGGCCGAGGCGTTTGGAATGGCGCCCATGTTTTACTGCTTTCGTCTGGCGGCCTTGGTCATTTTGGTGGCCTTAGTCCTTCAGACCTTTCAGAATCTTCATGGCATTTCGATCGACATAGACCACGGCGAGCGGCCTTAGCCTTTCTGGTAGATTCCACTCCGTCCAGTGGAATGCTGCCCAGATCCGTACTCCGAAGCCGGCAATAACTGTCGACGGGACTACCCAGCATCAGGCCCCCCTTCCAAGGAAGGGCCCGGCATTGGTCGGCGCTGTTTATGAATGAAGCGCCTTCCCTAGGGCAGGAGGCAAGCATCCGACGAGGAGCGCGAATCTTATCGATTGAGCCCGATTACACGCGCAGGGCATGCCTTGCGTGCGATCTGGGGCCAGAACCACTCGGGCAACCCATGGTGGCAACACAGTCCTGGAAATTCCAGCTAGCAGCCACGCTGGAAAACACGGACGCAGTGGCCTGAATCAGAACCAAGGCCCGAAAGGGCCAGGGCGGTTGCCAGCCTCTCCAGCCTCTGGGAGTAAGAAACGAGCCTGACTAGAGGGAGAGCAAGAAGCCATCCCCACCGCTTTACTTCGTGAGAATGATGAAGAAGAACAAAGACAGAGCGGGGCTCCAGGATGAAATTGAGTAGGCAGATGCGTCAGACCCTACGGCGTCTAATTTTTTCTCAAGCTCAGACCTTGGGCAAGACAGTAGGGGAGCACCGCCCGCATATTTAAGAGGAGCCCGCGGGGGTTGGGCGTATAAGAGGGACGAAAGGAAGTCAGAAGGGCTCCGCTCAAAACTGCCCCGAGGTGGGTTGTTTCACTCGATTGAAAGCGAGTCCATTAAAGACCAAGCGCGCAAGGCCTTGGCTTTTCGGTTCCCCGGAGTCTCTGTCGCGGGGTTGGCAGAATGCCATCGATTACGAAACAAAAGACGCCAGCCCTCAACTGGAAACGCAGGCGACAGCGCTGAAGTACTGCGAAAGCCGGGCGCGCAACCACCCTCAGCCCCCACGCATCGAAGATCGCAAGCGATTTCAGAAGGGTTGGCGAAGCGGTAAGAAATAACACAGCGGCAGACAATGTAGAGGGCAGCGCAGCGGATAGGGAAGCGGAGTTCGCTGAAAAGTTGCACAGCGCCGGCGCAAGTCGTCCGATGTGGGAGGCGATCAGCGTCGGCCCCCTCGGGGAGGTGATGGCCCCAGTCAGCAGATACGAACGGCGAGAAGCTTCGCCAGCGCTTGGCGAGCGGCTTTCGTCCTGCTATCCACGTCGCGGCTCTTCCGGTAGTGTGGCCCAGACTCAGCCACCCGCGACCAACTACTGAGCAGGCGTGGCGAGGTCATGAGTGACTGCGCCCGGCTTACGCAGATGCAAAGGAAGAAAAGCAAGGGCGCCGAGGAGGCTCGCCAGGCATCCCTGTCGCACTGCGAAGCAAGACAACTGGAGGGGCCCTCCGATCTCTCGAAGGAGCTGCGCCTGCTGACGCCTGCGGTCATTGCTGCCTGTGCCGTATAAATATCAAGCGGCGCCCGGTCGACAACTCCAAGAGGGGTAGAGCCAGCGCAGCGTGCGCAACGCGCACGCCTATCGTTCAGTCTTTGTCGAGGTGATCACCTCGCACAGACGGCGCCAGCCTTGATGAGGAAGGTCCGCCGGCAAAGAACCACACCGGAAGCAGAGGAGTCTACTTCTGTGAATCATGGTGGCGAGTCAGATGCTTGCAAGCCTCTGGGGCTCAAGCTGCCGCGTCGGCGCTACGCGGTCCTGGACTTGGTGCGTCTGAATCCAAGAACAAACCAGCTCGAGGCTGGCCGCAGCATGCCTTGCTACTCGTTCAGCTTTAGCCAGCAGTAGCAAACTTCAGCGCCTTGCGCTTCATCCTTCAGAGTACTAGACGACGACTGTCTGCCAGGAATCCCGGAGATCAGATGCTCAAAGTAATGAGTTCACGCGCCTGCTACGCAGGAAAACACCGAGTGGCGCAGAGACGTCGCCCACCAAGAGCGAGAACCTGAACCGGGCGCGGGAGCTCATCAAGGCACGGCCTGAGCCAGCAAAGCTTGAGAGCGGCAGCAGCGTCCGACTTCTTGGGACCCTCTACACGGTGAGAGGCCCCACAGGGATTGGGGCGCAGATCTGCCCACGAGGGCGGGGCAAGACCCTGGCGGCGCTGGATCGTTTCCTTCAAGGAGGGGAGATGTCCAATAGTGAGGCAGACAAACTGAGCGGGCAGCTGTCGCTCGCGTGCAGCTCGCTACCCGGAAGAGTCAGCCAAGCCTTCATCTTGGTGCCACTATGCCGCCAAGCATACAAGGGCCACCCAGAACACCATGACGGGCGGGCGATTGAGATGCGCGCTGCAGTGGTTTCGCGCTGGGCTCCAGAGTGACCGTCTTCGGCGTTGCATCTCTGTGGAAGGAGAACCACGAAGAGCCAGGCTGTGGACTGGCGCCGCGATCGAGTGGGTCAATCTCAATGGCCAGCAGCGCGGGCGCTTTGCTCCTTGTCTGGTTGTTGGCGATGGGCGGCGGCGCCTCTCTGCGTGGTAGCAAGTCGCCAGCGGGTGCAAGCCTATTGAATACTATGAGACTGGCGCCGCCATCGCGGCCTTACAACGCTGGCCCAAACTCTTGCAGAGCAGGAGGCCAGCCTCTTAGTTTTCATCGACAGCACATCCAACCATCGGAACAAGGAAGGAGCACTGACCAAAAATCACAGCAAGAGCGACGACAAGAGCAGCCTGGCCCATGATTTCTGGCGCCTGTGTGTGCTCGAACCAGAAGACCAATCCGTGGACTGGCTGGCGAGCATGTCACTAGCAAGCAAGCACAACACTGCGCGCCGATGGCCCACCCCGTGGGGACTTCACAACAGTGCCCGCCATGGGCCTCACTGTTGAAGAAGATGGGAACTCAGGGAGCGAAGTTAGTAAGTCCCACACGGGAGCAGCACCTGCTCCCTTGGTATTAGTCGACAAGCAAGCACGAAATCGCGCTCCCACCAGGTGCACTCCGAGGCCTTCTCAGGTAGTAACGGCGCAGCGCTCCCCCACCTCGTGTGTCGCATTACGGTCCAGCCTCCTCTTGTTGTCAGTCCCGAAGATTCGCACGCGGACGATCGAATGCGACCAAGATAGGCGCCGAATTGGCAACACCCTGCGGAGCACTGCCCTTAGCGCTGATCCCTATAGTAGGCTGCGATAGAAATTAAGCAAGAACTTGCCGCCCGAGGGGTCGAAGCTGTACGCGCCCCCCTTCGCAGTGACGTCGTGCGCGGAGCTCTTGGAAATTTTCAAAGGCTTCCGCTGGTTCTCCTTGATGCGTTTTATGTCCCTCGAGGCTTCGGCGCTCGATTTGGACGACGGCAGGCGCCCCCAATTCCAAAGCCGCAGACGCTGCGCGCTCGTTTGCACGTGGATGGGCGAAGGCGTACTAGTTGGCTTGCCTGCTTCCCTGTGCTTCTAACTAGGAAGCGCCAGACAGCGCCGCGGGGGGGTTTGTCGTTGCGTCTGTGCTTGACAGCCACCAAAGCTTTGCAGTGGGCCCCCCGGGTGTTCGGGCCCCGCCTGCGCGGGGCAAGCCAGTCCAAGCTCGTAACTCCAGCACGCAGCACCTCTTCGCTGGCCTTAAGTGATGGATCAGGCACTTGTGTCGCCGTGTTCTCCTTCGACTCACTGCGAGTAGCGACTCCTCGGGGCGTGTGTGTTGGTGACGGGTGCCAAAGCCGAGCGATTTTGTGGCCAGCAAGTGATATCCCGTCAGCTGCGGGGGAGCTAGTGTCAGTCTGGAAGAACTGGCGGGGCCTTTATCTAGTGGGGGCCCCGTTTATTGCACTGCCTGGGGCTAGAGAGCGGCGCCGTTAGTGAGGTGAAGGCCGTTGGGATACTTTGACCATCAGCCGGCCCTCCAAGAGTTGCGGCAACTCCCAAGGCCACAACGCAACTCTCCCCAGTGTGGGCCCTGGGCGTTGTGCCTCTTTTTCAGCTGAAAGCTTCAAAGTTTCAGGCGGATGTCTGAAACTTTTGGAAGGTTCAAGCGCTCCCCACGTGTTTTCACCCCGAACCTTCCAAGGCTTTCACTTCAGCCGAAAACAAAAAGAAAGACAACCCCCAACCAAGGCCACCCAACTCGAGGCGGGGCTGTGGCTATATGTTTAGCAGCAACTCTCCAGACCAGCCAACACATGAGACCATGCCCAGCACGTGATGGGGCCAAGAGTGAAGATCAGGCACAGCCATCAAGTGCGAACGAGATCAAAAAACCACCGGAAGCCCCACAAATATTCAAACGAAAAAGCTGACCCGTGTGAATTTTCAAAATTGCGCGCGAATATGTTGCGCAGATAAGCAAACCAGACCGGCATAGTGTCAACCCATAAAAAACAAAAGGCGAAAATATAAGCGAGCGACTTCCGACTCTGTCTCTCAACCCGTTCGCACTGGCCTAGCCGTACCGCTGCGGGACATTTTCAGCGTTTAAGGTAAGAAAGCACTGCGCCTGCGGGCTCGTAGGCCCAGCACGTGACGCCTCTCCACTGGCCTCTGGTGATGGGTCGGGCACTTGCGTCGCTTGTGTTCTCCGGCGAATCAATGAAGACAACTCGGGGCGTGTGTGTTGGTGACGGGAGGCAGGCCGATGATGACGATGATGCAAGCCCACCGATCGGGTGGGGCGGGATGCCATCTCATCCCCGCAACCGTTTTACCTAAGAAGGCTGCCCTCTTTAAGATAAAAGTCTGCCCCTACTCGACCCCGCAGAGAGAGGCCAGACCCGCGCCCGCGACCTCTCCGGGGGACCCCAAGGAGGCGAGGGGAGCTCGTTCCGCTTGCTCTTACCCTCCTGCACTGCCTCCCCCTTCGTCGGGGGGTCTCCCCTTAAGCGACCCCTTCATTTCGGCTTTTTTTTTTTTTGCTGTTCTGTTCCCTTCGTGGTCTTCTTGGCCTCATTTCGTCCGGCGGTCCCTTTGCCAGGCCTCCGCCCTCTCTCTTCTCTTTTTTTCACTTCTGTGCTGGCTTCTTTCCTCTCTTTCGGCCTTGTTCTTTGTTCTCGATGCTGCGTCCTCTTCACTGCTGTGGGGCTGCTCGGTGCCCCCGCTGCCCCCTTTTCGTCCTTTCTCTTGAGGGCGTTGCCCTTCTCCTCCTCTTGGTCTCCTGGCTGCTTCGTTCTCCCCCTTCTTCCTTTTTCTGAGGTCTATCAGCGCCTCCGCCGCAGGCCGCTTCTCTCCTCCAGCCTTTTCCGCCCCTGGGGGCTTCTTTGGCTTCTTCCCTTCCCTGAGTCCCTCCAGTGGTTTGTCCGCGGGTCTCTTTTTTCCTTCCCTTCTCTTCTCCTCTGTCTCTTCTCTCTTTTGGGCTTCGCGTTGGGCCTCTCTTTTTGCCTCATCCTCCCGCCCCTCTTCGTTCCCTCTGTCTTTTTCTCTGCGCCTTGGCACTTTCCTCCTGCTCTTTCCCCGCAGGGTCCTCCATTTTTTTCCTCCTCTCTCCTTTTGCGCCTCTTTTGCCCTATTCTTTCCGGCTGTGCACATCAGGCACATCCCTGCCGCGTGGGCGGTCTCGAGCAGTTCGCTGCCGTTTTCTGTCGTCGCTCCATCTACTATCCTGCTTCCAGTGACCCTTCGACAGTTTCTGCTTCACCTATCCGCGCACTGGCGTCCATCATCAGGAGCGTCGGCCCTTTCCGACTTTTCATGGCCCCCCGCAGTTCCGCCCAGCGGGTCCCGGCTTCTTCTTCTCCTTCCTGTCTTCCGTAGCAGCCCAACTATTTTGAGGCGGATCCTCCCGCCCAGTTGTGGCCGAGTAGTCTGGCCGGTTTCCGCGTCGATGGCCTCCGTCTCCCTGTCGGTTTCTTCGCTCCATACCATCGCGACGCCTCCCCTTCTTCCTTCGGTTTTCCCCGCTCGGGTGGCCGTCTTATATCCCTGCAGCCACCTCGTCCCGCTTGGGCGTTTGCTCTCCAGCATTGCGGCGACGTCTACTCCCCATTCTTTCACGTCTTGCACTGGTGCGGACTCCCGGCCCTTCAAGGTATTAAAGTTGTGCACGTATACACGCAGACGCTTCTTTGGGGGAGGTCTCTTTCGTGTCCCGTCCTCTCGGATTCTAATCCCTGCACCCGTAGCCGCCTTCACACTCCTTGCCCGACTTGTTGCCCTTTTGGTTCCCAGACATTGTCGGGGCCCTCCTGTATGCGCACACCCTTCACGCCCATCTCGTCACGCAGTTTTCTGGCACGCTCTGCCACTTCTGTCGCTGTGCCTTCTTTTGCGTTTCTGTTCCTCCCAGCGTTTACCCTGATCACATGCGTCCAGTCCTTGCCCAGGCGCCACGCGTTCCATCCCTTTCGCTGTATCCGCCAGGGTAAAACGTCGCAGCCTGCGCCCCGCAGTCCCTTCACAAATGCCTCTTCTTCCTGTTGGGTTGCTGCCTGTTCCTTTCTGGCCTCTTCCCCTCCTTTCAGATCTTTCCCGAAGGCTAGGGAGATCGGGGGCCCTTGCCTCTCTTCTGTTTCTCCGCTTCTTCTTTTGATGTCTTTGCTTAACTCCGCGAGCCCCTTTCGGAGACTGCCGGCCCCTTCTGTCATCGTGTCCCCGTTCCTCCCTGGCCTGCCTGCGTGGGTCTTATGGGTGGCCATGGCTACCACGCGATTCCTACCGGCCCCCGCCGTCCACTCACAGACCACCAGGCCGCTTGAGTGTGCGCTGTCTCGGGGCCCTGTGCTCCTTCTCTTCAGTTCTCCCCGGCTTATCGCTTCCCTTATCTTGCGTAAGAGCGGCCGCGTCTCCCCTCCTTTTTTGTTCGCAGCTTTTAGGATGACTACTCCACCTGGCCACCCTTCCAGCCGTCCGCCTGCTTCCCTTATGGGTGCTCTCTTTGCGCTCCTCTTCGCTCTTTTTACCTCCGTCCACTTTTCGCCTTTGGTGTCGGTTTTTTTTGCTTCTTGCCCTTCTGAATCTACCGGCTCGCACTTCCTTTCCTCCTCTTCTTTGCGGTCTTTTTGCCGCCTTCGCTTTTGTTCTTTCTTTCCAACTTCTTCACTCATCTCCTCTCCCATTCCTGCCTTCCTCACGATCGTGAGGCTGCCTCCTCTTTTCTTAAGTTCCTCACTGAAGAGCCCCAGGCCTTTTCGGTAGTCCCTCCATCTTCCCCCAGCCTGGCCACACCCTGCGCCACAGGGGAGGAAGAAACAGAGACCGCCGGCCCCCATCTGGCTGCCAAGCTGCTTGGCTGCGTCTTTCAGGCCCTCACTGAGCCACTGGAGCCGGTGCCGATAGCTTTCGCCAATTGTCGGCGGGCCCGGTGATTCCTGTCCCATAATGTTCACCACCTTCCCCAGGCCGAGCGCCTGGCCACACACCCCGGCGCTGCCCATGGGCCTGCCCCTGTTCCGGTCTTGTCCCTGTCCCTTTGCTTGCGGGTGCTCGCTGAGGATGTCCGACGACTGTCCCTGCATCTGCCGGGCCTTCCTGCTCAACACATGCAAGATGACCCCGCTCCGCTGCTGTTCTATTCGGCCAAACATCACCACCGGGGGCACTCCCCTGGGGCTCCTCTTGCCCGCTTCGTCTGGTCTCCTCTCCTCCTGGCATGATTGCCGCCGCGCCTCTCCTTGCCTTCTTTGGCTTCCCCCGGGGGGCCCTCCTTCTTTCCTTTGGTCTCCTGTTTCCTTGCCTTGTCCTTTCCTTTTTGTTGCCCTCTCTTCTCCTGCTGCCCTTCGCCTGCTCCCCCCACTCCAGCCGCCCGGGCCGCAGGCGGCTGCCCTGGTTGTTCTCCTATTCCCAGCCGCGACGTGGAGTTATAGTTTCGGGCGTCCGCCATTGAACACTAGGCAGATCTCTGGCAGGTTGCTGCCTGGGGCGTCCCCCGCCCCAGGTATCACGAACGTGCCCCCCATGTCTGTACTCATGAAGATGCAGAAACTAACGAGAAGCGTCTTGGCCAGGATGTCCAGGCCTTCCCCTGTCATCCAGGTCCACTGAGGTGCAAGCCCCCCTGCTGCGGTGGTTGTTTTTGCGCTGTGTCCTCCGTCTCATCCCCGCCACGACTTCCCCCATTCTCCATGCGTTTTGCTCTACTAGCGCCCACACTTGCCACATTGTGCTGATGCCGGGGGGCGCGAGATCCCTCGCCTGAAGCTGGTGGAGGACAGAACGACGCCCAGCACGTCCGTCCCCTAATGCCCTATGCTCCCTGAGTCCAATTGCCCTCATTGCTGCGAGGGTTTCTCGCCTGCCCCTGATCGTTCCTAGTCTGTCCGGGGGACTGCTCTTGCCAGTATGGTTCGTTCCCCCCCCCATCTTTTCCACGGGTGTCGTCTCCTTTTTGGGGTTCCTTGGGTTCCCCGTCCCTTTTTTCTCCCCCGGGCATCTTTCTTCTCGCCCAGGGGCGCGGTCTGCGCGGGCCCCTGCCCTAGCATTTTGCACCCCCTTCGGCCGGCCGTCCGTTCTGCTAGAGCTGTCCACGGGCCGCGCCCTCTCCTCTCGCTCTCCTTCTGGCCAGCCGTCAGGGGCGCGCTCGTTGAGGTTTGTTGGGGTTATCCTCACCCTCGCACTGTTTGCCCGGGTGTCCTCCCTAGTATTTTTTTCGTTACTCTGTAGCTTGCCCTCTGCCATTTTTTCTTGGGGTTGGCCACCTGTTTCCTGACCCTTCCACGGCGGTGCCCCCCGTGGGAGGGTTTTTTGTCGTTCCGGCGTGCCTCTTCTTGCGGCCTCAGCGGGTGCCGGGGACCCGCTGCTGCCTTTTCTCGCCCCTCTTCCCTGCTCGAGGGGCGCGCGGGCGTTCTTACGCCTTTTGCCGGGGTGGGGGAGTGGTTTGGCGTGGGGTTCCCCTTCCCCCCGCTGCCCGCCCTTTCTCGCGTGGTGGCCATCCTTCCCCTGGCCACTTTGCACGATCCCCGGCCCCTGTGTGCTAGCTGGCTAGCGTCTTTCTCTGGCCTCCTCCTCTCCTTTGGCCGATCCGCGTGCGCCTTGTCTTTGTCCTAGGCCCCTCGCGCTCGGCTTTTTTCTCTCCTTCTTCTCTCCTTGTTTACCGACTGCGGCGCCAACTGTGCCTGCCTACGTTCGACCGATCGGCGCGCGCCTCTTTTTTTTCCCTTTTCTTTTTTTGTTCTGCGTCCCTCGCGCTCGGCTTTTTCTCTCCTTGTTCTCTCCTTGTTTACCGATTGCAAGGCCGGCTTTGCCCGTCACCGATCGTCTTTGCCTGCTTTTTTCTTTCTTCTTCCTTCTATCTTCTTCTTTTCTTCTTGGCGCTCCTCGCCGTTTCTCTGTTCGCTCTTTTGTGTTATACCGATGCAGGCCCCTGGCGGGCCTGTCGTTGCTCCTCCTGAACACCAGACCGACGGGCCAGGCCTCGCCCCCCTTGGCTGAAGGATAGGCTATTTTTTTTCTTTCCTCTTTGTCCTTTCGTTTCTTCGTTTGTTTTTACTTATGCGGAAAACCCTCTAGGAAGGTGAGAAGTAAACCAATGCAAACCCCAACGCAATGAGCAGCCTAAACAGGTAAGGCCGCCTTCGTTTGCGTCGATAAAATCGACACACTTTTCGGCGATGCTCCTTTCGTCGTTTTCTCTTACGGAGAGCGCCTCCCATGGGGAGCCCCTTTCTTCTTCTTCTTCTTCCTCGTTTTCTTCTTCTTCCTCCTCGGTTTTTTCTTCTTCCTCCTCTTCTGTGTGCTGCTCTTCCTCCTCGTGTTCTTCTTCTTCGTCGTTCCACATCTTCCCGACGGCAGTCGCCTGGCAAGGGGGCTCTTTTTTAGGTATGTCGGGGAGGTGAAATAAGAACAACTAACAGTCCAGCTGCTGAACCTATGGCGCCAGTTCTAGCCAAAAAAATGAAAAGGCGTATCCGCTTAGTGCCTCTTTTTTTTCTCCTTCTTTCCTGTTCTTTTTTCTTCTTTTTTTCCCCTTCCACCTTTTTAGGTGTATTCATGGGAGTGGTGGCCTGCGTAGAGACCAGCAGACTCCCCAACTGCTCGAACTGCGACCATTCGACGCGGCAACTCCACAGAGATGCCCGCACCCCTTCCAGCAGTGTGCGCACTGGTGCGCTGTGCCTGAGCCTTTCCAAGAGACCTAGCCTCATTTCTGACCGCACCAGAGTGGCCAGCGCTTTGGCCACCTCTTCGGCCATGTTCGTTGGCTCCTGGAACGTGACGGCCTTGCGCGTGCTCGTCGTGCTGGTGGTCGTTGGTCGGGAGGCAGGGAGGCGGAGGCAAGGAGGTTGGGACAGGGAGGCTGAGGCACCCAGGAGTCTGAGGCAGGGAGGCTGGGGCAGGGAGGTTGAGACAAGGAGGCGCAGGCAAGGAGGCGGAGGCAAGGAGGTGGGGGCAAGGAAAGCGAAGGCAAAAAAAGACTTGTGGGCAGCGAGGTGGAACAAAAGGGGCAACAAGCAAGGCAAACGCGAGGGGCTAGAGCATGACAAAGAAGGCCCAAGGCCTCCCCGATATCTAATAGCTGGCTGCCCTGACTGTGAGGGGAAGCCCTGCTGCCTGTGTCTTGTCGAAAATCCAACGAGAACGACGCACCTGGGCGGGAGCGAGGCCAACGAGGAGGAACGCCTCGCCTGTAGTCCTCCAAGAAAGCAGAGAAAGAATCCCCCAGAGTTTCTTCTTGTCATTTTCATCAATAACGTCAGTCCGCCCTGACGTGGTCCCCCATCTGATTCGCGGGCCTGACGAGGTTCCTCCTCACTATCTGTGTGCCATGATCTGAACCTATCAAAATTGTACAAAGATCCACAAAAGCCCGAAGGATGAAGATCATCAAAGTGACCAAGACCGCCCTGCGAATAAGGTAACCCATCAGCGTCATCCTCAACGCGTTGGCCCTAGTTGGCGCGGGTGTCGGTGGCTTTCAGACTTCTAGCAAACTCGGCCGGAACACTATCCGAACGCCTGACGGGTTTACCGTTGCGCGGGTGCCTTCTGGCTTCTCCTCTCTCGTTCGTTGTTTCAAATCTCTCAGCCCAGTCAAAGACCAAGCACCACCAGAAAGACCGCAAAGAAACCTACAGACCACCCAAAAACCAACGACCAACAAGCAAAGGGCCGCCAGCGTTTTCAGATTGAAGAAATGGCGCACGTTCATAGCTGTAGCCAGGTCCATGCCACCCCGTCAGTTCTGATCAGTTCAAAACGCATAAGACCCGTCGCGGAGTATTCTCGTGATACGCTCCGCGCGATCTGATGCGTATGCTTATGCAGCCAGAAAGTTCAGTCAGATCCAGACGAGTACCGACGTAGGCAATCGTATGAAGCTGATGACGATAGCGCAACGATATCCCTGCGAACGCATGAGCCCCCCCACCATGATACCCCAAGAAGCTGAGGCCTCCTCGCAGCCCCCACGAATATCCACAGGGACCAAACCAGCCAGCGCCAATTTATTAGTCTCAGGCCGTAGGCTCAATCCGCACCAAGCTAGAGCGTCGCCCAGTGTTTCTCACCGAGCAACTCCGCCGACTTAACAGCCTGCGTCCTTGTGGTCCAGCACTATCTAATCTCGGTTGAGAGAATACTATATATAAGAGTCCACTAGTACACAAAATAAACCTGCATCTTCGGCAATTCTAAGAGTTCTAAACCTACCTAGGCATGGAAGTAGTCAAGTTCCTCTTTCATAATCAAGAATTTCCCTGTCGATCCTCTCGCCAACCTCCACAGCCGTCGCTTTATCATTCGCAGAACCTTTCCGTCCTTCGGAAGATTTCGTTGCAGCTAATCTGTGTGATTCACATTCATATGTGCTAGGTAGATTCAATTATAGATAAGAAGGCAGTCTTTGTTTTTTTTAATGATGTCACGTTCCTAAGAGTTCCACTGATTTTATCATTTATCAAAGAATCACCTCCTTTCCCTAGAAACAAGAAGTTCTTGTTTATCGACTTCGAGAAAAGCGTTGGCGTCCGCCTCAACAGCGTTCCCCTCGTCCGTACCTGTAGCGTTTGGCGCACGCTGTTAGAGTCAGCTTCTATCCATCTCGGTCCCTGCATCTGGACCCCAGCCCTTTCTTACCCTTGTGGCAATTCATAGGAATAGCACGAGCCAAATGGGCACCAAGATGCTGAGAAGGATGGATAAAAGCTGACCATAACGCTCCCTGGAATCTACTGTGGACAGATACATAGTTGTGCCGATTACGGCAGCTTTTCCGGGACATTTTCGCACCATAATGGAAAATGTTGGCTGAAGATCCAACAATACGTTGAACAAACGGCTTCAGACGTCAGGCGACAAGACGTCAGACGACAAAAACAAAACAAAATAAGAACAGAAGCTAACTTACTTGTCCTCAAGAAAAAAGTCTGTCGGTCAAGGAAAAAGTCGGGCCAAGAGATGAGAACGCTCGCATAGAAGATACTTGTTCTATCTAAGATGGCCGATCCTTTGCTTCGACTAAAAAGTTCTCTCACTCGCTCCTTTTTTCCTCGTTTTTCACTCCCTAGCTAGTCTCATTCCTTTGTCGGTGGATATGGTAATTGCAGCAGAATGTAACTTTGGTCCTTCTGAATTTTGCTCCGTTTTCCGGAATACAATGGAATATAATGAGTCTCGCTTTTTTTTTTTGTAGTGCCGTGCTTATCCGAAAGGGAAGAGCTTGCATGTTTATCCGCGAAGCTGCCGGCGACGCACAAAGTTCACTGCAGACTGCCATAAGGGTTAAATAAATATGGCGCAGAACACCATTCAAGTGGCTGAGAGCAGGATCATGATGAGGAGCATCTTTTACAACAAATTGCAAATCTTCTTGGTCATCTTAGATATTATGAGGAAGTTCTTGATGTGCTTGTGCACTTTTTGCATTATTTTCTATTTGAAGTAGAAGAGGTAACGAGTTTTATTACTTTGTCATATCTCATCTGGTTCTTCAACATCTTCTGGTCCGTTTGTCTGTACAGAAAATTTTCAACAATTCGAGCTACTAGTACAACTTCTATTACAACTGCTAGTTCACATCAAGATCAACAGCACGACTTTTTGGATGATTGCTCTTTCTGTACCGGCGCAGCACTGGGAGCGGAATCACTAGAGCTAAGTGATTGTTGTTCTTGTACCGGCGCAGCACTGGGAGAAGAATCACTAGAGCTAATTGGTTGTTGTTCTTCTTTTTGTAGCGGAGCAGAACTGGGACTGGACGCGGAGGCACTAGGGCTAGTACTTGGTTGTCGTTCTGGTACCGCCGGCGCAGAATTACTAGAGCTCGTATCTGGTTGTTGTTCTGGTACCGCCGGCGCAGATCCAGAACTGGGAGAGGAGGCGCCAGCGCTCGTAGTTGGTTGTTGTTGTACCTCCTGCTTTGCACGACTGGCTGTCCCGGACTCGTCACTAGGTCGTTGCTGTACTATCCCGTGATGATCTTCCTTCAATGCACTCGGAGCGTCTACGACTTCTCCTGCGATTATTTTTCGTGTTTGATTTTGAGACAATATCCAAGTCCTGCTAGGAAGTTGTAGGTACTAGGTGAAGCAGATCGATGTAATTCTCATTATGAGTACTGCAACTAAGTTGCACTAGGTACGCGAAGTGAATAGAGGTACCACGTACTGTAAGTTCCGATGGCAATGTGTTTTTGCGTAAATTTTGTGACTAGAGGTGCGTTCTGTAGCTAAAGAAAGGGTTAATGCTGATGGTCGAATCTTTGAGAATGAAGTTAGGAGTTACACGAATCTTCATGCGAAGACAGGAGTTACTCTACATCGTACAGGAAGAACTCATCTACTGCAAGAACTATGTATCTATAAGAACTCAAATCTACTCTATTTGAAGAACTCAAAGTGATTGTGAGTAGAGGTACGTTCTGTGAGTTCCGATGGCAATGTGTTTTTGCTTATTTCCTTTGCTTTTGTCCATGCCTCTTCTTCTGTTTTCGGCGGCTCGCCACCAGAATAGAGCTCTCTGTGAAGTTCAAGTTTCATCCCTAGCTCCTAGTGTTAGGGAGATGACATTGATATTTCTAGTGATAGATCGTCCTTCTACTAGATAAGCATGATCATGCTCTCTAGTTGTGAAGATGACCCTCTTCTGTGAAGATCATCGGCAAGATGAAACTCTTCTTGGCGAGGAGGTGCTCTGGAGTGTCCATCTTCTATAGAGCTACATGAAGAGCCTAGACGTATAGATGGATTATTCGAAGAAAATAAAGTACGTACGTGATCTTCCTTACTCTACGATCTGACCCTTAACATCGAATGGCATTGTCGATGGCCTGGGCGACTTTCCGGTATTTCATCGACAGCGTTTATGAGTGGCGCCACTGATTGAGCCAATCATGGAAGAAGGGAATGTCGACACTCTCTTGTGGCCTTCTTCAATGAACGAGTGAGGCCACAAGATGAAGATGATGCGTCACTCGTTCGACCTTGTTTGAAAAGTCCTACGTACTGTAGCCCTTTCTTCGATATCAATCAAGTGTGCTACAACTGTAGTACGTGCCGGAGGTTGGCGTTCCCTTTCCTTCGGCCTCACTCGTCATATTTGTTTGAACAGTAGCACTACGTACTATCGGGCTCCTAGTAGTAGTAGTAGTAGTAGTAGTTGTAGTAATTAACACTTTGCTGATGCGGCACGGTCTGAAGTGCAGAGGGGATGGGAAAGTTAAAGTTAGGAGGGTAGTGGCCTCACTCCTTCCTCTTTGAGCAACCATATAGCACTTGTTCTTGTTCGACTCACAACAATAGTACGTACCGGAGCAGGCTGACAATTGAACCAACAGTACGTGCCGGAGGTTGCCGTTCCCTTCCCTTCGTTCTCAATCAGTGGCGCCGTACGATATAGCGAACATCTCCTCTTTCTGCATTGGAGCAGGACTACAACAGCTGCAGGTACAAGAAATAGCAGTTCATCCAAAAATGGACCTACTTGTTCAATACGCCCCTTAAAAGTGCTTCCTTAACTACTTTTTTTTTTTTTGAATTAGGTTTAGGATCTACAACTACTACTTCTCTTCATAACTACAAACCCTTGTTTCCTCCCGAGCTCCAGTTGATCCTGTGCATACGGTAGAGGCGCGATTAGGTCAAAAAGATCGGCGACAACAGCCTTATAGTAGCTTGCTTCATCAAACCAATCCGCGCTTTTTGGCTTTGTAGCTGTCTATGAAAAAACGGATTCTAAGGGTAAGGTGCTGGGTATGAAAACGGATACTAAAAGAGGAGATCCCTAAGCCCTACGCCCTCGCACTCTAGTTCTATTTGTTGTATCCCTTTATTTTTACTGGAGCAATCAGGGTGTAAGTCTAAGTACTAGAATTCCAGTTTTAGTAGCCCTTTTATTTCTGAGGACCCGTATTCTACTGAGGAGTCCTCAGAAAAAGGGCTACTAAACCTCACTATTAAATATTTCCGTCAATCATTACCCTCCAAATGTGGGTTCCCGGTCCTTCCACTTTGAGATCAAGCCTTTATGAATTCAGAATTCTGTTCATATGTCTGTCCTGCCTCTTGGCTGCCAACCGCAAGCAACCGTCCAGTAATAGTGGAGCCTCATGCGGAATAGTTCCAGCAGTTTCTTCATCTCTTAGCAGGTTCCTTGTTGTTGTTACCTTCTAAAACAAAGGAACAAAACGAAAAGGAATTATATTATAAGTAAATATCAAATATTATTAAGACGAAGGATAGAGTCGATATTTTTAATATCATTTGACTGGTTGCTTATCAAAGGAACAGTCCTGAGAGATGAGAAAGGGAGATGAGAAATTCTATCAGTACGGCTTATCTTGAAACAAATGCACTGGAGAGATGAATGAATGAATGAATGCATGAATGTGCTTAACTGCTTTCCATGTCATCACTTGCTCCACTCAGCAGCGCATCCTTCGTCTTTTTGAGAAAATCAACATCCGTTACAACCGGGAAAGTTAGAAGAGTATATTACCAGAGTGGTCGCAGTGTTGATGGATGAGAGAGAGAGAGCAACTACTCTAATATACAGGCAGCTGTTGACCTTTTGATGTTGCATGAGAGTTCCTACTCTAATGTGTTCTTGAATCAAATATGTTGACTCATACTCTGTTGTTTCACTTTCATGATGAGTGATAACAGGGGCCATGCCAGGCTCCAGCATAGTTTGTTGGCAGTTGGCAGCGGATGAAACAAAGTGCCTATTCGTAATATGGTGGCGCTACGCTAGAGCTGGTGGCGCTACGCTACGTCCTAGTTCCTAAGCTACACTAGACCGATACAGAGCCCGAAAATGGCCAACAGAGCCAGCTAATTCTGGGTCTGCTGATGGATTTAGCTGAATCCAGAAGGTTCCCCATTTGGGAGAATGTTCGCTCTTAGTTGGCAGAGAATCATGAAACAAAATATTTATTTGTAATTTTGGGTGACTGTTTTCGATGTAGTTGATGATTGACTCATCCCGTAGTAAAATCTTGAGGGTGATAGCAGTTGTCTCGTCAGTTGTTGCATCCTTAATAGATACTCCACGCCGCTCTGCAGGCCCGTCCATGCGGCATCATCCATTTGATCACCCGGTCTGATGTTGGCTAGTATCGGTCTACAAATTAGAAGAGAGTCTTACGAAAAAGTTGCAGTCTTTTTCTTTCGATGGTAATAGCAGTCGTAGTCGTAGTTGTAGCACTAATTTCTGAACTTGATCATGAGGAGCTACAAGTCTTCTACTATCTATGTTGCAAGAGAAAGAGTATCAACTAAACAATTCGTAGTCCTTACTACTTCTCTGGCAGTGGACGCAAAACCTTTATAGTAGTTAGATTGTCACATTAATGTTACGACTTCTTTTGTTCTAGTACATGCTTGCTCACACCACACGCCTTAACCGTACGTTATCTGCACCGTACGTCTGGCCATACGCAACCTTCCTCTTATCATGAGAGCCCATTAGATGGAACAACCCAGACAAGCATCGACATTAATCAAGAATCTCTAAACAAGAATCTCTAACCAAGAATCTCTAACCAAGAATCTATAATCAAGAAACTATAAGCGAGAATCTATAACCAAGAAGCAGCTCACCCACCTAGTAGAAGGGTACGTGCCTCGTTCGTGTCATGTTGGAACCGAGATGATGCTCTTCCTCGGACGTTCCAAGACCAAGCACTTCTGTAATATTACTTTTCCTAAGTATTTCTTCTGCGTCTATAATAGTGCAGAAAACAAGATTGAAGACCGGTAGTGCCGGAGTTGTTGTATTTACTCGCAAAGTCCGTGTTCTAAAGGCACCCGACTTTGCCAATAATGTTGTATCTTGGAATATGTATCAACTTCAACAACAATCTGCATTATATATTTCTTCAACATATCTTTCAATTGAGCCGTTGAGCTCCGCCACAACTGGGTCCACTTTGCCATTCTCATGAAGATTTGCTCCCTTCTTATTTACTGCCTTTGCGCCGTCCGTCGCGACCAACCTAATACGCATTTGGGAAGGGAGGACCTAAGTTCAACATCTTAGAACTGAACCTATCAGAATTACTATATGATTATATCTCAATCTGAACCGACTAAATTGCAAAATCACAAATTAGCCACCTTTCTTCAGTGTTGAGCGACTCTCTTTCGACTTCAAGAAAAGCGTTGGTGGCATCGTCTGCGTTGGTGACAGCGTTTTCTGCTGGCTGATGCCTATATGAGCCGCGTAAAATTGCTTAGATGATTTCTGGCCAAATTCTATTTTTCACGTGGAAGGAGCTCCTGTGTTCTATGTTTCAAGTAGAAGCAGCTGCTCATCTTTGATCATTTGTAATAATTACGACTTCTTTTGTAGTATATGTTACTTTCTTAGCCGATGATATTGCACGACACTTACAGGGGAGAGATCAGTCTTCTGCCTTCAGATGCGATCAGCCTTAATAGTAGTGTGGGATCTTTGTCGTGATGTTAACATCATGATATTCATACTGTCTGGAATCATCTATTATTTTGGTCGATCGTGTTCGTCCAGCGGCATGGTTCAATGAACTCGAGCAGCCAAGGATGGCAGCTTTGCCACGTTTGCCGGGGCATTTTCGCAACATAATCAGCCTATTTCTCCTACTATTTTAAGCCCGCGTACCTCTTCATGTGGCTTAAAGCTTCAAGTGTTCAACCACGACCTTTCAAGTAGCCACCTCTACTTGGCTAGAGAGGTGAAGCCCCTACTTCGATAAAAAGTGAGTACTTAAATGAGAGGTTACAAGAAAAAACGCTGTTTCCACATTAGTCATGTGATGATGATGATGATGATGATGATGATGATGATGATCGTACCTATACTAGAGGTGGTGTTCTTTGTTCTAAGGAGTCTAGTGGAAGTACTTCATCTAAGACCACGTGTATAATTCACCATTTGCAATAGCAATTGACGGAGGTTTCGTTTCATAAACAACAAGACTCAAGATCCTTCTTTGCCACTTTGTCCTCCACTTTGCCGCTCCTCATTGAAGCCGATTTTTCTCGATTTTCTAGGAGGTGGGGTAGGTAGTTTCAAAAAAAAACGTCCTTAAGTGAAGAGGGCATCATATAATTTCAACTCATCTTCACCATGTCCCATATAGTCCTACAAGCCTACAGGCAGGACAAAACTGACGAGAGAATTAATACAGGGTCCACCTCGTAACCACAAACCATTTGCATGACAGATTTGTTGAACTGCATTTCCCTCATCTTGAAGTCCTCCATCATTTCCCTCATGTTGAAGTCCTCCATCATATGTTGGATGTTGAAGTCCTCCATCATTTCCCTCATGTTGAAGTCCTCCATCATATGTTGGATGTTGAAGTCCTCCATCATTTCCCTCA